AAAAAAAAAAAGAACAGATGATAAATAAATACATGAGGGGTTAGAGAGATAGCTTAGTAGAATAAGTGCTTGACTGGCCAAGTGCAAGGTCTTTAATTTAATCCCCAGTACCACACACACACACACACACACAAAAAGTACATGAAAAAATTCTCAGTGTCATTATACATTAGAGAAATGCAAAGTAAAACAAATAGTTCTGGAGATGGATGATAGCAATGGTTACATAATGATGTGGCTATTTTTATGTATGTGTTTAAATTGGTACATTTTACTTTTGTCTATTATACCACAATAATAAACTTTTTTTCTTTTTTGAGACAGGGTCTTGTTATGTAACTCAGGCTGGCCTCCAACTCATGGCTTTCCTCCTGCCTCAGCCTCCCAAGTGATGGGATTATGGGGGGAAGAAAAAAGCTTCTTAAAGAAATGAGCTGTGAGCTACTACATTAGCTGTGATGAGGAGTCTTAGCTCTAACCTAATTTAAAAATATCACCAGATAGTCAAAGTTTTTTTCTTCTGTTTTTTGTATTTTAGGGAAAGGTCTATAGGGTGTTCAGGGTCTCACTACTAGACTGGACTCAGTGATTCACCTGTTTACAGCCTCCCAAGAGCTGGGATTGCAGGTGCGTGCCACCATGGCAGGCCCAGGGATTGAACCCCCGGCCCCTGTGCCTGCTTACAGGTACTTTAATCCGCTGAGCTATTTGGCCATCCCAAAATTCAGAGTTCTAATACTTAATACTCTTTCATCTATTATAGATTATATCTGTTAAAATTGTTATTTATTTATTTTTTGGCGGAACCGGATATTGAACTCAGGCCCTTGCACTTGCCAGGGAAGCACTTATTCCACTGAGCCACCACCCCAGCCCCTTGGTAAAATTTATATGGATGTAGACTAGTTTTAGTTAGGTGGTATATGAAAAGGGAAATACTCCTTAGAGGCTGAGTACTCAGCTGCCCTAACATCTGGCCCTAGTTTACCTGTTACTGTAGAGTTTGAGAAGGTGAAAGCAGACGTCTCGAAGTGGGACCTCTGAATCTTTCTCCTTTTGCAGTGCACAGCCAGAACCCTCCAGGTATGAAGGAAGTGGAGGACAGGCATATTGGTCACCATCAGAGGTATTCTGAAGAGAAGAATTTGAAAAAACAATGTATCAGTTGCTATTGTTCCACTAGATGCTATGATGTCTCAATTATTTAGAAACCTGTATAAAGAATGCCGTGATACCCCAAAGGAACCTATCCTGGACTTCACTGTTCTGGGTCAGTGACACAGTTCACCTGGACTGGTAGTCCTCACTAAACTCCCATACTTGCCACAAGTCCTCAATACATTCAACTTCTTGAGTACTCTCTCTCTGACAAACAATTTCGAAAAATGACAAAGGGGCCGGGGAGATGGCTCAGTGAAATAAGCGCCTCCCTGGCAAGCACAAGGGTCTGAGTTCAATCCCCAGTTCCGCCAAAAAAGAAAAAAGAAAGAAAAAAAAAGACAGAAAAGAGAAATGTAAAATATGGACAAAATGCAAAATAAGGAGGAAATGATTTTAAAAATGATGACTTTAAGAACAATTTTTTAGTATAAAACAAAACTATTCAACTCTGGCAAAGAATGTGAAGTAGTTTTTTTTTTTTTTTTGCGGAATCAGGGATTGAACTCAGGGTGTTGCACTTGCCAGGAAAGCACTTAAGCTACTGAGCCATGTCCCTGTCCCCTTAAGTACAATATTTTGAGGCAAATTTCACTGCAAATTATGGGCAAAAACCATGCCTGAGGTCAAAATATATAGCAAAGAATTCCCAAAGGGTAAGAGGATATCATGAATGAAGAAAACCCTTTGATTCACAGGGAGGAAAACAGCAGCAAGAAAATTAGTGGAGAAATTCATCATTTTAAATAAAATGAAAGGGGCTGGAGAGACAGCTCAATAGAATAAGTGATTGCCTGGCAAGTGCAAGGTCCTGAGTTCAATCCCCAGTACTGTAAAATAAAATAAAATAAAAATAAATAAAATAAAATATAAAAATAAAATAATTTAAAAAAATAAATAAAATGAAAGCAGACAGTTATAGAAGTTTAAAAGTAGTCTTTACCCATAGGCAAGAGTAAATAATGAAGTTTCCCACCAGATTGCCTGGATCCATTTTGGCTTTATGGTATTTTCAGAAGGGGAGTTAGTTAAAAAGTATTTTATTATAAAATATGATTTGATGGGCTTTTCTCTGCAGGACTTCTCTGGGAAATACAGAAGTAGATTTTGGATGGGCTCTACTGGACACACATACCTGAAATGCTTCTTCATATTGGCTGAGTGCCCTGGAAATGGAAGCTGTTGGTGGAAGTAAATACCAAAGATGGACAGCGAGGGAGCGTTTCCAATCTAGCTGGGCACACACATTAATTTGTATCTGCTTTGAGATCTGCCACACCTACAGGATACAAAATCATCACAGCTATATTCCACCTTACTACTGCCTATGTGTGCAACTTACTTACTAAATAATTTAAATGATCTACATGCAGCACTAATGAACCAGACATAGTAGTATGTAGTGGTAAAAAGGGGATGCAGACAGTATCAGTGCTCTGTGATGATGATACAGAGGTCTCACTGACTACAGTTGCTAACTAAAAATTTTTTTAAAATAAATTATTACTGAAATGACAGATTATTTTACTGTTTATCAATGTATGCTGATTAACTAGGAAATAATTGGGTTCTGTACTAGGGCTATATCCCCAGCCCTTTAAAAAAAAATTTAAAGGAGGCATGATTGCACATTCCTATAATCACACCACTTGGGAGGCTGAGGCAGGAGGATTGTGTGAGTTGAAGACCAGCCTAGCCTACACAGTAAGTTCAAGTTCAGCCTGGAATACATAGCAAGACACTATCTCAAACAAAAAAGAAAATTAAAATTTTGAGACAGTACTGTTAAGACATTAAACTGGCCAGGCAGGGCTCCAGTTAGTGATCTTCCCTCCTCAGCCTCCCAGAGTTCGGGCACTACAGACATGAGTCATCTTGCTTTGGGTAACTTAACAAACAAACAAACAAATACAACATTCAAAGTACCTCTTTTGTAATTTGAAAATTAAAGATAGCCCAGTTACATGAAATAGTGTACAACTTGATATGCCTCAAGCTCAAGAAGCCTTGAATTTATGAAAAAAACTGAAGGGAGATTAGAGAAAAAGGGGACGATACCGGTTTTCCAGCTAGCAGGGCATAGACACGCAGTCTGTCCTTCTGGATGAAGCAGTCGGCCTGGAGGTGATGCCAATCTGCCAGCTGCATAGAAAGCAGATTCTGGAGTGAATGGCTTCCCACCAACTGAGATAAAAGAAGGGCAAGGCGATGATCACCTGTAAGAGAAATGGAAGTTCACTAAGCGTTCATGGGCGTGGTGAATCACTGAATTACTCTTTTTTCTTCCAGCCTTGAAGGGAGGACTTAACACCTGTAACTGCCTCCTGAGATACTGCAAAATACTGATCATAATAAACTTACCACTTTATGCTTGAGTAAAAAATCTGTAGAAGTAGTTTAACCTAAATTATATAAAGACTGCATAGCACATAAAGATCAAAAGCAGACCTACCTCTACCAATTGTGTGTACCTAAGCAAGGTACTCACTAAAAAATAAAAAAAAAAAAAAAAAAAAAATTCATCCCCGGTTCCAAAAAAAAAAAAAAAAAAAAAAAAAAAATTCATCTGATTCAATGAATTTTTTTTTTAGCTTTTCAATTCTTTGGTGCTAATGATCAAACCCAGGGCCTCCCACTTCTACCACTAAGCTAAATCCCTAGCCCAATTCAAACATTTGTAGTGAAAAATGAGGCGGTAAATGTGCCAACTAAAATGTGTGACATCCTAACACAGAGGAATGAGACATTATAACCTAAAAATAGAAATGTGTGCTTTGCATAAAGTACATAGGGAGTTTTTCAGTTCTACAAGCCTAATGATCTCAAAATATTTTTCAAGTACAAAGAGCTAGGGCAGGATGGGCCAAAGAGCTCAGCAGATTAGAGCACCTGCTTAGGCAGATGCAAGGGCCCGGGGTTCGATCCCTGGCATGCCATGTCAGACCTGCCTGGGAGGCAAGCCAGAGACATCAATTAAGAATGGGTGTGGATGAGCTGGGGAGATGGCTCAGTAGAATAAGCGCTTGCCTGGCAAGCACAAGGGCCTGAGTTCAATCCCCGGTTCCGCAAAAAAAAAAAAAAAAAAAAAAAAAAAAAGGCTAGGGCAGTATAAAGTTTCTAATTTACAGATTGCAAATTTCTAGTTAAAAAGTGACTTAAGCAAAAATCTTTGTTTAGCCCGTATCACACAAAGGCCAAGACTTTGTGTCTCCATGTGGGCCAGTGCTTAGCTTACAGTGCTTAGCTTATCTCATTAAAAAGGTACAACTTTCGTCTCAAAGCACCTTCTTCACAAATCAAGTGGCCTAGATGAAAGCAATCTTGTAACGGGAATACATCTGGAAATGTGTTGCTAGGGTAGGCTGTCTCCTTAACTACAACATGAGTGGAATATAGTTCATACTTCACTGAAGCCCACTTAACATGAGATGCTAGTATTGTAAGTGACTTATAAAGTGAAAAAGGAAAGACAATTTCTGTGTCAATATAACCTAAATATTTATTGGTCAACAAAGATAATTCAAAGAAGAAACTGATTTATAACAGCTTGATTAAAAAAAATCACTTATTAAGGTCATGTCATATGGGTTATCAGCTTCTGTTAATATTTCACTTTCTACAGATTTTTCCATTCAGGAGGAAATACACTTAACAAATAGCAGAATTCTAGGGCACAGCCTCCATTGGGCGGCAGTGGGGTAACTGGGAAATGAATCCAGGACACACTACCACCTGAGTTTTATAGGACTACATCACTGTGCTCAGCTCAAGTAAATTTCTGTGTATGGTATCTAACCATTTTTTTGGATGTGAATATCCAAATATCACAACATTTGTTTAAAAAAAATCCTTTCCACATTTAAAATGTTCTAGCACCTTTGTTTAAAAAAAAAAAACAAAAAACATGCTGAAGAAATAGCTCATTGGTCTAAGCTTCTGCTTGGCCAAGTGCAAGGTCCCAAGTTTAATCCTGGGTACCACATGCCTGCACCCAGGTGCGCCAAGCTGGCCCTGCAACTGGGCATGGTTGCACACACCTGTAATCCCAGTGCTGGGAAGGCTGAGACAGGAGGATCACTATGAGTCTGACCTGTATAGTGAGACCCTGTACCAAATAAATAAAAAATAAAAATTTAAAATAAAATCAACTCTTAAGTTGAAAAGGGTCTGTATTTGGATTCTCATTTTCTATTTCATTGATCTATGTGTTCATCCTAATTGTTTTGATCACTGTAGCTCTATGTAAGTTTTAAAATGAACAAGTTTGAATACCCTGACTCAACTTTGCCAAATAAAATTCTGCACATTTCCAAATAAGATCAGTTTTCAATTTCTGCCAAAACAGTATGTTGGAGATTTGGCTAAAGATTTTTTCTCTTTTTTTGGTATCAGGAATTGAACTCAGGACCATAGGCTTGCCAGACAGGCACTGTACTGCTGAGCCTCTACTTTTTTTTTTCCCCTTGGATTTTTTGCGACAAGGTCACTATGCAGTTTAGACTGGCCTTGAGCTCACTTCGTAGCCTGATCCTGAGCTACAACTTCAACTCTCAGTGATCTCTTCCTCCCTTAGCCTCCCAGATTATAGGCCTGTGCCACCACACCCAGCTCCCTAGTCTATTTTAAATAAACATATTAATTTGATAAGAAAAGACACCTTAATAATAAGGTTTTCAATCAGTGTTTCTTAACTAGGGTGGTGTGCCCCTCAAGAGGAACCTGGTGATACTGCGAAACGTTTTTGATTGTTAAAACAAGAGGGAAAGAAGAGATGTTACCAACTATTCTGAAAATGCCCAGGCCAAGGCCAGGAAGGCAGCTCAGAGGCCTAAGTGCCTGCCTGGCAAGCGCAAGGTCCTGAGTTTGATCCCTGGTACTAAAAAGAAAAAAATGCCCAGGACATCCCCAAAACAATTATCAGTACTGCAAAGAGTACTGCAGCTGAAATATTCATTCTATGAACCTATAGTATCTCTTCATTTACTTAGATCTTTATCTACCAAGTAAAATTTTGCAGTTTTTAATGTCAACATTTTACTTCATTTATGTATCTTATTTTATTATTTTCCTTAAAAAATTTTCATCTTTGGAAAGTCTGTTGCTAACACAGAAACACAAGAGAACTTTGCATATTGATCTTAACTCCTAACATCTTGACAAACTATTTCATTAGTCCCAGTACTTTTTTTCTCCTGAAAGGGTCTTCTTTTTTTTACTGGGACAGGGTCACACTATGTAGTTCAGGCTGATCCTGAATTCACTATGTAGCCCAGGCTGGCTTGAACTCAGGGTGATAGTCTTGCCTAGTGTACTAACTGCTGGGATAATAGCCATTCCCCTATACCTGCTTGCTTTTTAAAATGGATAAAGACTTGTTTTATTTCAATGACTGGTGTATATAATCACCCAGACCACCACGTACAGACATTAGAGAAGAGCTTTACTTCTTAGACTTTTTCTTTTTGGACAGACAGTGTCTTAATGATCTTCCTCCCTCTTCTTTTTGGAGGCCTGGAGGTGCTCCTCCTGGTGCTTGCTTACTTTCTTGGTTTTCAGATCTCAGGCATCAGCCTAGCTAGCCAGAGCTCCCAACATGTCTTGTCTGCCTTCAGCTTGTGATGTGGTCCATGAGGCTCTAGTTGTTCTGAAGACATTTCCCTTCACTGTCAGGTGCAGACTGACATAGGTGGTGGCCAATCTTCTTAGATTCACAGTATCTGCAGAGCAGTCTGTATAGAATCTGCCACCTCCTCATCCAGGTTATCTTCTTTCCCTCTTTTTTTTTTTTTTTTTTTAAATGTTTTTAGTACAGTGTCTACAGGGTCTCACTACATAGGTCGGGCTTGTAGTGATTCTCCTGTTTTCAGCTTCCCAAATGCTGGGATTATAGGCATGCACTACACACCTAGTCTCAGTTGCCGACTCAGCGCGCTCCAGGGGCAGGGCCAGCATGGTGGGCTGGGAACTGAACCCCAGCCGCTGTGCTTTGCCTACACAGGTGCTTTAGTCCACTGAGCTATCTAGCCTGTCCAGGTTATCTTTTCTGTCATTGGAGTACCAGCTTTATCCTTTGCTGGCCTATGCCGATCTGCCCGCCTTTCCAGGGAACCAGGGTGTTTTCCTGGCATTGAGCTCAGGACTTAACAGTTACAGAGTCATGAAGCAGATCATTTTTTCAGCTTCAGCTTTTGCTGACAGGATTTGGTACTGGTACTTTCACTAGCCTGATGGGGATCCAACCAGACCTCCCTCTTACTACAGCACAGAAACCTAAAGGCAAGCCTCTTCTGAAGCCTGAACATACTCACGGCGGTGGTGGCTACAGCAAGAGATGCACTGACCAGTAAGAGATGCACTGACCAGTCTGGATTCCATGTGTCAGTTCTGTCTTGTTTTTTTTAATGTTAACTTTTTTTTTGTTTTTTTGGTGGAACCGGGGATTGAACTCAGATCCTTGCGTTTGTCAGTCAAGCGCTTATCCTATTGAGCCATCTCCCCGGCCCCCTAATGTTAACTTTTTTTTAAAGAGGATAAAACTTTATTAATTATATGAATCCATGTGTGATGCATTTCAAAGTTAAACCGAATAAATTAACCTTTTTTTTTTTTTTTTTTAAGAGACAGTGTCTCAGGGTATTGTTCAGGCTAGCCTCGCATTCATAATCCTTTTTTGCCTTAGCCTCCTGTCTGCTAAGATTATGGATACAGGCCACCATACCTGGCTAAATTTTCTGTGTTCTTGAGTCTCCTTCTGGTTGTTCTATGATTTAGTAGTAAAGCCAAAGGTTTTAGTAACCTGAAAGGCAATGCCCTGACAAAGGTTTTAATCTTAGCATCAGAAGAAAAGGGGAAGAGAAAGTAGTAGAGTTCATAAATAAGTTTAGGGACCTCACACTTTTTAAAATCCCTTCCCACTAGATGCAGGTATGCTGGTGTGTACATTACCTTAATGACTCCCTAATTTACAGAGGATCAATCCTAAAGATAAAAGCACACTTAGGGAGCCAGGGAGATGGCTCAATGGAATAAGCACTTCCCTGGCAAGCTCAAGGGCCTAAATTCAATCCCCGGTTCCACAAATTAAAGAAAAAAAAAAAAAAAAGACTGCACACTTAAGATAAAAGCACACTGTTCAAATGTATGAAGACCATAAAGGGGACTGAGCTAATTGTGTAGTGATAATAGAATACAGTCAGGCATTTACAAATAAGTTACTGACTCTAGCTTTTTGTATGACTTCTTATAATCTCAAAATTAGTAGAGTGCTCCAAAATAAATGTAGTCAATAATGCAAATTAGTTGAGTTTAGATGAATTAGGTTCCAATAAACAAGGTCAGATGAAAGATCTAATTAAACATAGATGAAGTTCAACTATGTTGTTCTCTATATAATTTTTAATTAAGATTTGTGTTAAGACAGTCATTAAGTACTTACTGAATGCCTTATTAGTGCAAGGGGAACTAAAAAATTTCCATAAATATACATGTGCAAAATCCTTTAAAAAAGTTAATACCTGGGGGTGGGGGTGGGAGGATAGATCAGAGGCTGAAGGACCTGCCTGTCAAGCTTGAAGTCCTGAGTTGTTTGATCTCTGGTAAAGAAAGAAAGAAAGAGGACAGAGAGGAGAGGGGAGAGCGAGAGTGAGAGAGAAAGAGCGAGCGTGTGTGAGCACGCCTCAATCCAGAAATTAAATTTTTCTTTTTTTGAGACAGTGTCTTGCTATATGGTCCAGGCTGGCCTTGAACTCACAGTAATCCTTCTGCATCAGCCTCCCAGCTGCTGACATTATAAATGTATGTCATCACTCCCACAATCAGAAATTAAATTTCTAGATTTTCTACAGGTCTCTCTTGTCTAGACCGTCTCCCTCTTGTCCACTGCAGTCTCCTCCTGTCCTCATCTTCCTCCTCTATTCTCTCAGGTATTTTTGTTTGTTCATTTTTGTTTATTTCTCTCTCTTCTGGAGTCTTTATACTTTTTTTTTTTTTTTTTTTTTTTTTTTTTTTTGTGGAACTGGGGATTGAACTCAGGCCCTTGTGCTTGCCAAGGAGGCGCTTATTCCATTGAGCCATCTCCCCCGCCCTGAGTCTTTATACTTTTGACCCATGTTCTCTCTCACCACAAACACAATACTCTACCTGCCTCCTTATTCCCTTTTTTGGATCTTACCACCAACTGACCCTTACTTCCTCAACTGGCTCTATTTCTCCAGTGAATTCCAGTCCCACTTATCCATAGCAGTGAGAGCAGCTTCCATAGGAATGTGAGCTTTCTTGGGAGCTAAGTTAGTTGGTATACTCTCTGCCAGGCAGAGCAACTGAAAAGAATACGACCTGCTCCTATTTTTAGAGGGAGCTTCAGGTAGTGGGAGATATCAGGTAGTAGTAGTAGGTGACAGCACAGGATTCATTTATTAAATGGGACCACTGCAGGGGTGCAGTGAAGTGAAGCTCTGTGGAACATGGGTCTGGGGCGAAACAGGCAGCATGTGAGCTGGGCCTTGAATTTAAAAGACCCCAAACCACTGGGCATAGTGGCACATGCCTGCAATTCCAGCACACAGGAGGATGAGGCAGGAAGATCACTGAGTCTGAGGCTATCCTGAGCTACAAAGTGAGTTCAAGGCCAGGCTAAACTGCATAGGGAATCCTCTCAAAAGAGAATATTCCCCCCCAGAAAGGCCCAAAAGGCAAAGATCCTTGGCATGAGTCAAGCTGTGAACATGGAAAGAAGAAGAAAAGGTTGGCCCATTTGTCCCCTCCCCAAGAATAAAAAATCCTACTTATTTATTTGGATGAAATGAGCATACCAAAAACAAAACAAAAAACAAAAAACTTGTTTAATATGTTTTAAATACTATTTACAGAAAAAATTTTCAAAAAAAATGTCAAGAATTTGCTAATATGGTACATTTATGCAGAAGTGTTTTTTTTTTTTTGCAGAAGTGTTTAAATGTATATTATTCAACATTTATAATACGATACATGAAAACACAATACACAAAAAAAGTAACTGTCTTTGGAAGTTTACAGGTATACCATGCCCTGGGTATGCATCTAAATGCATGTGTATACTATGTACTATGAAGACAAGAACCTAGGTATAAACTGCACACGGAAGTATTTGCACTGATGGGGCCAGCAAGGTAGCTCAGCAGTCTAAAGTGCTTGCTAAGGCAAGTGCAGAGACAGCAAGTTTGATCCCTGGTACCATATGCTGCACCAGCTCTGCCCCCAGGGCGGGCTGAGCTGGCAAAAAAATAAAATAAAATAAAATAAAAATAATTTAAAAAAAATATATATGTATATATATATATATATATATATATATTTGTACTGAGTAGTCATAGGACAGTGACAGAGATTTATTGCTGATTGTGTTTTTGAATACTGTGGTTTTACTGCAAATGTAACACAATTTAAGTAATTTTGCTTCAGTAAATATACTGAATTAGGTGTTAGGTTCTAGAGAGATGTTTAAGTTAACAAGACATGTTTCTCTTCTGGAGGAACTACAGAACTTCCTGAGAAGTCCACACTTAATACAGGTTAGAAGCCAAAGTAAGTTCATTAACTAAGAGGTGGGGCAATAAATAGACAATGAATAGGAAGCAGACAGGGACATAAAGAGGAACCATATTCTCTACCTGACTGCTGTGCTAGAGAGCAGGCTGCGCTGATCCTATTGCCTGTGAGGTAGCTGAAGACAGCCTCTATAGGGTTGTCTTTTCGGGTTGAGACTTCCTCTTCAATTAGAGCTGTAGCACTATTGGATAGCCAGTGGGAGAAAGCTCTTCTTCGCTCCAGAATCTGAGTGTATGCGCTGGGCTCACCAGGCTGGTTGTCAAGATCTTTCAGGTGGCCCCACAGGGCTTCACATAATGTCCATGTTAAGTTCCAAGGCTTCACAACTAGGGAAAGAACAAAAAAAAAAGGAATTCTGTGACACAAAATTTTGCAATTCCAGAATTACACTGCTCTAATTTATAATGTAAAAAAATTCATAAATAACCACCACAAACATCCACTCAAAACTTACTTCCCCAATACTATAGCTTACTCATCTCAGATGATAAAGACCCTCTGATTAGATCAAAATCTGAATACAAAATGCTTTAAGAGATTTACAGTAAGCTGGGCATGGTGGTACCTGCCTGTAATCCCAGCACTTGGGAGGCTGAGGCAGGACTGTTGAGAGTGTGAGGCAGCCTGGCCTACAAAGTGACCTCAAGGCCTCCTGAACTGCAGAGAGAAACCCTGTCTTAAAAAGACAAAAAAGATATAATGTATTCTAAAAGCTTATAAAAGAAAAAAAAACAAAAAACCAAAAATCTTGTAAAAGAATACATTCTATTATAGTTGCAGTCTAAAACTTGATGAATCTAAATGATCCTGTTCAAAGTGCTTTAAGCAAATCAATTTTAATCCACTCAACTATGTAACAGTTAACTTCTTTTTACAGCTGAGAAAAATGAACTACAGAGACTTAAGTTATTTGCCCAAAGTCATAAGCATTATGCAGTAGAGCTAGGATCTTAATATAGTAAAAAAGTCCAACTCCATTCTCTAAATCAAAATACTTGACTGTCTCGTAAGAAACAAAACAAAACAAAAAACTACTGTTGTCTTTTTGCAGAACCGGGGATTGAACTCAGGCCCTTGCACTTGCCAGGGAAGCGCTTATTTCACTGAGCCATCTCCCCGGCGACTGTTGTCTTTTTTTTTTTTTAAAATGAATAAAGCAGGCATTTATTTAAGGTACGGTATATATTTTGTCCACTGCTCTTTAGGCAAGATCTGATGCTTCATGCTCAGGTCCAGGGCTCTCTTAATGCGAAACATCCTGTCATTATAGAGGTTTTCTGGAAGTCTTCTTACAGCTTCTTTTACATCTTCATCTTCATATATTGTATCATCTCGCACTAAGCCCAGCTTATTGAACCCTGCAGCACTGTAATACCACTTCCGAATACCTTCCAGCCACCGGCTTGATGCTGCAACAGCTGGGCGGCCCACCATCTTGACCCGTCTTTTTAAGTATTAGGAAGATAACTTCCATGTTGGAAAAGGCAAGACAATGAATAAACATGATATTACACAGTTTAATTTGAATTTAGCTAAATATAAGTTTTCTACTGTTTAAAAGAAAAGTACACATACAATTTCATTTTTAAAATAAGGCCCCTGCATTTGCCACACAAGTGCTTATTCTACTAAGCTATCGCCCTGGTCCCCTTTTAAATCTTGCCTCAGGTTTATTTGTACAAAGAACAGAGGAGGACACCAGCCCCCCAATTCCAGGGGATTTGATTGGCTGCATTTTCTTTCTTTGTGGCTGGCTCACCCTGCCCTGGGGGCGTGGCTAGTGCAGTGTGTGGTGCTGGGGATGAAACCTGGGTCCCTGTGCTTGTCTAAGCTTGCCTAAGCAGGCGCTTTAGACCACGGAGCTCTCTTGCTGGCCCCTGGCTGCACTTCTTTAAGGAAGCATTTATATATAACAAAGCATAAAAATTGTAAATAATAAACTGGATGTGGTGACACAGGCTTGCAATCCCAGCATTTGGCAGGCTGAGGCAGAAAGATTGTTGCAAGTTTAAGGCAGGCCTAAGCTACATAATGAGTTCAAGGCCAGCTGGAAATATATAGCAAGGCCCTCAAGAACATCAAACAAGAACAATCACAAAATTAAAAATGATAAACTATTTTTTCTTATATGAGTTTGGCTTAATTATAGTAAAATGTTTTAAGATTGGTGTAGAAATATAGTACTACCTCTATTCCTGGGATATTAAAAGTGAAAAGTGTTATATGTACTCACTCTGTGCTTCCAATAAATCTGTGGATACATCCTTAACCCAACGTACATAGTCATGAATGACAGCAACTCCCACATTGGGGGTGATGAAAGGACATAGTTCATCAACATTGACAGTGCTATGTTTTAATTTCAGCTCCAAAGGTGTCTGAAATAACTGTAGGTCTTCATCCAGCTTCCTTTGTCTCAAACTGAGTTTTTCTAGGCGAACTTTGAATGGGGACTCAGTTAGGCTACAAGGAACAAATAATAACGTAGAGAATCAACATAAGACAGAAGATGAAATTTCCTTATAATCAAGCCTTTATTTCTTTTATTATAAACACAATGCAAAACATTTCAGTGATTTTAAAGAAATTTTGTTATGAGAAATATGATGTATTCATACATGGAAATGCCACAGAATCCTATTCAATTTTACAATTAGTAATGTTATTATGCGTGTGGGGAATAAAGGGGAAAATAAATTCAAGATGTGTTACATACATGTATCTATTCTCTAAAGTGAATACAAACGTCATGTACTGCAAACACATAGTAATAAAATAAAATAAAATTTAGAACATTTTACTATAAAAAATACAAAGGAAGAAGATCACAAGTCTGAGTCTGGCCTAGGCAACTTAGTAAGACCCTTTCTCAAAATAAAAAGGGTTGGGGATGTAATTAAGTGCAAAGGCCCTGAGATCAATTCCCAGTATGACACATTCTACACAAAGAAAGACAGAAAGAGATTAAACATTAACTCTACAAAAATCAGGATTTCCATAAAATCACCAAAAATGTATTTTATACATATATACACACTCTAAAGTTAAAAAAATTCTGTTTCCTAATATCAAACTGTACTGAATTTATCTACTATATAATGAGTAAACAAATAATCTCATCCAGGCATCCAGAACCCAAAGGTCTTTTATTTTTAGGCCAGGTTATAACCATGGGAGTCAGTGTGGTTAGTTAGCCTTGAACTGGTTGCACTATGCATTTGGATACTATAAAATTTGAAAAATCAAACTATATTGTGTCAGGGCTGGCCAGATAGCTCAGCAAATTAAAGTCCTATTTAGGCAGATGCAGGGGCTGGTGGTTCGATCCCCAGGCCTGCTGAGCCAGCCCCGGTCCTAGAGCACACTAAAACTGGGCATGGTAGCGCCCGCCTGTAATCTCAGTGCTTGGGAGGCTGTAAACAGGAGGATCACTACGGGTCTGATCTGTGTGAGACCCTGTACTAAATAAAAAAAAAAAAAAAAAAAAAAAAAAAAAAAAAAAAAAAAAAAAGGGGAAAACTTTTTTTAAAAAAACATAAAAAAAAAAAAAAAAAAAAAAAAAAAAAAAAACCCACAAATCGTGACATACTGTTTCATAAACACTTATCAAAACTAATGAAGCTAAACTTACAAATACTAAAAAAGAGGCTCACTCGTCATGGTGGTACACACCTGTAATCCCAGCCACTCAGAAGACTGAGGCAGGAGGATCACGAATTTAAGGCCAACGTGGGCAACATAGACCCTGTCTCAAAACAGTAAAAAGGGCTGGCGATGTAGCTCAGCTACACTGAGTCTGATCCCAAGTAACATAAATAAAACTAAAACTAACAACAAAAACTCCTCCTTCTATCTGAAACTGTGCTAGGAATATACAGAAAAATCATAAGTCAGAGTCCTGACCCTAGAATTCCTGATAACAAGGTATTTTTCTCAAACAATTTCAAGGAATGTAACTCACGATTTAACAGCTATTGGATTAGGTAGGAATCCATATTCCATATAATCAGCAATTTGATGATTTTCCAGGTCAAGAGAGTCATTCAGCCGTTCTCCACTATTAGCAAGAGTCCAGTTAGGGCCCCAACCAACCCTAAATGAGCGTCCCATGAACAGGGCCATATCCATCAAGAGATTTCCCTTGCCATAGGTGACAGACTTCTCAAGAGGGACTAAGCCCAGATGCCTGCGTGTGCCCACCGTTTTCAACTGAACCTCAGGGGCTGGGCTAGGCACTGTAAACACGGTGGCCAGGGGTGGAGGGACAGACCAGGGGGATGTGGATGGGATATTCATTAATGATGATGTTCTGGGAGTTCGACATTCTTGCACAGAGGCACTTGGTGAAAGAAAAGCTCCGCTTGTAAATTTTGATTGCAGTAACCCACCAACTGAAATGAGGGAGAAAAAAAGACTTTTAACAACATAGCTTGTTTCTTGTACAACATCAAAATTCAGTAAGGCAGCAATCATTCAGTACTTCATCAAACTAATTTACTCAGATATGGAGAACCAGATGCAGCTTAAGTCAGTTTAATACAGAAGTCATTCTTTCAACTAGAAAATCAAAGAACTTTAATCATGATTAGTGTCAGTATCAGTAATCAACACTACCTCTGAGATATTATTTAGCACTCACCTGCAGCTGACATGGTATTAAGACACTTGTGTACATCCTTTCCCTTTCAGTAACTGTAAACAGTAAGCATTACTATCACCTCCATTTTACAAGTGAGAAAACTGACCTCAGGTAGATGTCTTGTCCAAATCCACAAGCTACTAAATGACAAGAATGAGAGATAGACTCAAGGAAGTCTGGCATCAGTGCTCATACTCTCGTGGAGTCCTGCATGGGACCCTGACTTAGTTCCTATAAGAAATACTCATGTTCTTAGCTTGCTAATGCTCAATGTTAGAATGCAGGAATAAAATCACACCGAGGCATCTTATGACTGTATATGTGCCTTTCTAAAGAAGAGTTCTTATTACTAGTGCTCTTTTAAAATTTTATATAAATATATATGGGTTTTTGCTTTGTTTCTCTGGTACCAGGGAGTGAACCTAGCACCTCTGCCCTAAAATACAACCTAGTTCTTTAAATTTTTTTTTAAATTTTAAGATAGGGTGTTGCTAAGTTACTAAAATTGCTCAGGCTTGAGCTCAGATTTGTGATCCTCCTGCCTCAGCCTCTCAGAGTGCTGGGATTCTAAGTATGTGCCACCACACTGCACTACAATTCTACTATTTCTTGTGTTAAACCATTGAGTTATCAAAGTGTAAGATTTCATATAGTACAGAAAAGCTTATTAACAATGTTGAATTGGGAATACAACTCAGTGGAAGAACACTTGCCTAGCATGTAGCAGGCCCCAGGTTTATGCTCTGACTTGAGAAAAGACATTTCTTTTAAACTGATGCTTCACTGGGCATAATGTAATACCAGCATTTGTGAAGCTGAAGCAGGAGGATCACTATGAATTTGAGGCCAGCCTGGGTTCCAGTGAGTTTAAGGGCAACCTAAACTACACAGTGAGACTCTGTCTCAAAACAAAACAAAACGAACCACAACACAACAGACAAACCCCCCAAAACCACAGATGCTTCATCAGAGATTTTTACAAAAAGTTTATAACAAGGGCACATAAAAAACCTGAACAGTTAAATTTTTAAGGTAATAAATTTCTTTCTGACAGTTACTTGGTTTTCATAATGTTTTGAAGTATCTGCTCAAATTCTTCACTGATATCAATAGTCTATTTCTAATCCTTTCAGAGAAAGTTTTAAAGTCCAATATGCAATACCATATCTAGGAATCATAAAAAGTAAAAATCTGATGAGTTTTTAATTATGAAAAACATTATTTATCCCCAGAAAGCAGTAAAAGTGTTAGTACTGCACAAAGAAAGAATATAGGGGGCCGGAGATATAGCTCAGTGGCGTAACTGCCTGCCTGGCAAGTTCAAGGTCCTGAGTTTGATCCCCGGTACCGCAAAAAACAAAACAAAACAAAAAACCCCAATGGACAAAAAATTAAGAAATTGGAGTTTGCTATCTAATACACACTCACAAGTGGACAGAACCATACCACTAAACAAACCACAAATGTTATTCTTTATACAACATCTGTACCAAGCAAGGTAATTTTGGTTCTTAAAATCTGGCCACACAAAAAAGATACTTAAGAATATCATTTCAGGCTGGTACAGGATATTTGTAGAAGTCCTCTCAGCTTTTTTTTTTTTTTTGGCGGAACCAGGGATTGAACTCAGGCCCTTGAGCTTGCCAGGCAAATGCTTATTCTACTGAGACATCCCTCCAGCCCCCCCCCCCCTTTTGTGTGTGTGTGGTACTAGGGATTGAACTCAGGACCTCACACCTGCCAGACAAGTGCTTATTGTACTTGCCAGCAAGTGTTTATTCTCAGCTATCTCCCCAACCCTATCTCAGCTTAGAAGAGAACAAAAAGCATGGCATGGTGACACTATAGCTTTCTTGTAAATGACATATTGTATATGGTACCTAGTGAACGGGATTTCGATGAGTGGATTGCTGAAATGGGAAGTCTTGGAGAACAGATTTCCTGAGAAGTATCTCCTTTGGAAGGAAGATGACTGAAGTGTTGATCCATCATATCTACATCTTCTTCCTCAGCAAGCAATGACGCTTTCATGATCTAAAAAGGCAATATCTATAGAATGAATGTGCTCCACACAAATTAAATACCAGAAAAGTTCAGTTTATAACAACCAAAAAAACTGCTTTTGAGGCTGTGTCCATTCTACTTGTGTAACTATTTTTTGTGCCTAAGGGAAAAAGTTGTATAATTCTTCTTTTCTTTGTACATGTAAGTTTCACCACAGCCTGGCACACAAAAGTTGCTCATGTCTGCTGAATACTTTTTAAGTCAAACATTAGCTGAAGATTAAACTTATAAAATCATAAAACATGGGCCAGAGGAAGCACAGAGCTTTAAAAAACCTATAGGGCTAAGGCTATAGCTTAGTGGCACAGGGCTGGCTACCTGGCAAAGCACAAGGTTGTGAGTTCGATTCCCAGTATCAAAACAACAACAAAGAAAGTGTATATACTAGGTTTTTAAAAGTTTTGTGGCTTAGGGAGAGCTCTGTGCAGGCTCTGCCCCCAGGGCATGCTGAGACAATGACTAAGACGGTGTGATGGAGCACTCCTGTAATCCCAGAGTTTGGGAGGCTGAAAACAAGAGGATCACTACAAGTCCGATCTATGTAGCGAGACCCTGTAGACCCTGTACTAAATACATTAAAAAAAAAAAGTTTCAGGGGCTGGGGAGATAGCTCAGTAGAATAAGTGCTTGCCTGGCAAGCACAAGTGCCTGAGTTCAATCCCTGGTTGAAAAAAAAAAAAAAAAGAGAAAGAAAGAAAAAAAATTTTCTTGCACAGGGTTCTGAGTTTAATCCCCAGTACTGCAAAAAAAAAAAAAAAAGTTTCATGGACCCAGGCAGGGTATGGCACATGCTTGGTATCCAAGCACTTGGAAGGCTGAGTCAGAGAATTGCCAGAGCCCAAGGCCAACCTGGCTACATATTGTGCCCAAGGCAGGGTGAACTATACAGTGACACCCTAGCTCAAAGAAAGCAAGCAAGGTAAATTGTGGATCACTTACAGACTCTTAAGACCACCTCGTAAGTCAACACAGTATTGTACAGAGAAAACTTCAGTGTTCATAGTTAAATAACTTCCTAGAGAGTCGTTAGAATGAGGTCCTCTAATATACTTAAGTCTAGGAACCCTACCTTTTGAATCTCAATATAAGCTTTCCCGAAAGGAAAACTAAGGCCAGGCCAGGTGTGGTAGTATATGCCTATAATCCCAGTACTTAAAGAGGCTGAGGTAGGAAGATCAAGGCAAGTTCTAGGCCAGCATGAACTGCATAATGAGACTCCATCTCCACAAACAAGCAAATAAGGCCAAAACATTTGAGATATATCTATATCCACATCTATCTCTGTCTGTCTGTCTATCTGTCTGTCTATCTATCTCCCCATTACAGTGAATATTCTGTGGTTTTAACTGAATATATAAGGAAGAGCCCTGATGCTATGCAAAAGAAATAAAATATGTTTGGTTTTCTACCATAAGCATGGGTTAGAACTTCACCTGTAACACATGTGGATTAATTCCCAGGGAAGATGCAATGTGTGTAGAGGCAGACACAGGTTCTTGATCCTCAGGCATGCTCTCTTCTAAGATGGAATCCAAAACTGGCTCCTGGGTGATATCTACCATGTCACTGTCCAGTTCCACAACCCTGCCTAACTGTTCCACCTCTGGACTCTGAATCTGTGGACAGCAAAAAAAAAAAAAAAAAAAAAAAGAGGGAAGCAGCATTAAATTACACCAAATAAACACAGAACTTCTAGATCAGATTTAGTTTATTCAGAATATCATACAGCAATATTAGATTCTTTCCATTCTATCATGAGGTGAGATAGTAGATTTGAAAAGAGGATTTAACAGCATCACCACCAAAATGCTCAAGCACTTGAGATCTAAACGAGGACACAGGGCTCGGGAGATGGCTCAGTAGAATAAGCACTTCCTTGGCAAGGGCCTGAATTCAGCTTCCCAAGGAGTTGGGATCACAGACTCAATCCACAAAAAATAAAACAAAACAAAGAAACAAACAAAAAAAAAACCACTGCAGATACATGCAATCATCCTTTTGTAATATTAAGGTATGGGGCAAAAGTCAGCATCCATACTGAAAGAACCTATGGTCTTCAAAGATAAATATGCCTTATCTGATTTAGCTAACAAATAGAATTTTCTGACTTACACAGGATCACCCTGCCCACCCACTGCCTTGCAGCCAGAAACAATTGAGAAGAGGAACAAAAGATTCATCTAGTGGGGCACAGCAATGCAGTCTGATTCCCAACTCCTTGGGAAGCTGAAGCAAGTAGAGAGCAAGTTCCAGGGCTGTCTGGATCACTTAGCCAGTACCGCAGAACAAAAACCAGGAAAGGAAGAAACCAAATAAAACCAACCAACCCCCCTTCACCCCCTAGTCTCTAGCAACTGCATTTTCTTAATTTGGAAATAAATTTCTAACTAACATAATTTTGGGTCTAGAAATAACATCTTCTGGGTGACTTAGTTCCAAAGTTAGCTAGGTATTACCAGTGTAGTACCATGTAAGACAAAAGGAATGTCTATTCTAATTTCCTGAAAGATCAAAATACTAGCAGTAATTCTAATCAGGAATAATCCCTTCAAAAACAATCAAGAGTTCTATTTATATTTATTAGTTTTAAAGCTATAGCTATGACAATTTATAGTGAAAAGGGAAATGCTCATTAAGCTGAAACACACTGAAATTAATTGATTCAGTACAAATTCATTACACACCCTAAGCTCACCTAGTAGAATGTTAACAAATGAAATGGTCAAGTTAACATATGAAATGTTTTAAAGCCAGAAAATTCTACCCATTATTTTTATAACTCATAGGTTAACATTCCACAACTTGATTTTTTTGTAAGCAGAGATTTCAGACCAAACCTCAAATACATGTTATCATACAACAGGTAAGTTTAAAAATTTTTCATGGTCTATTAGTTATTTTTTTCAGTTTTATATCCAACTGGACATTATTATTAACTCACATTCAAAAATTATCCTTCTTAAAAGATTACTCTCATAAGCAACTGTACAAAAATAGTGGTATTAGCCACTTAAGATGTGAACAATACCCAAGGTCAAAGGCAAAGATGAGACTGCATTGGTACATGCCCAGCATGCCACATACCCAAGAGGCCTAAAGCAGGAGAATCACAAATTTGAGGCCAGCCTTCACAACTTATTGACATCATCAAAATAAAAAGGGATGAGGATCTAGCTCAGAGGTGGAACACATTCAAGTTCAATCCCCAGTGAAACATGTACACGTGCACACACACACACACACACACACACACACACACGGGAAACGAGGAGGACAGTTAGGGTAATATAGCTCAGTTGAGCAAAACCCTAGGTTTCATCTCTAGTGCAACACACGCACACTCACCCAACTCGCCCACCTCCTACTCCTACATGGCAAATAGGATACTTTTTATCCATCTACTGAAAAGTCTACATTCATGCTTTGAACAGTGTAGAGATGTGCCTGTGTGTGTAGCCCAGTGATGGTATGACTGACTCCCATATGCAAGCCCCTGGGGTCTACTATTAAGCAATGCAGAGGGAGAAAAAAAATTACTGTGATTTAAAGAATTCTACTTTAATTATAAGAATCATGGAAGCAAGGTGTGGTGGCATATGACTGTAATCCCAGCAATTGGGAGGCTGAGGCAGGAGTATCGTTGTGAGTTCAAGACCAGCCTGGGATACAAAGAGAGCTCAAATTCTGAACTACAAAATGAGGCCTTGTCTCAAAAAGAAAACAACCAAACGACCAACCAACCAACCAAACAAAAAACTTTCCTTATTTATACAAGGCTGCCAAAACCTTAAAGATACAGTATCTTTTAGTTGCAGGGTAAAGTGAAATGTGTATCAAGACACTTAATTCAGCTGAGTAAATAACTAGACCAAGGTGAAATGAATGCTCTTAATTCATGCAGTTCTCTTAGCAAGTTTTTTTTTTCCTTTTTTTTTGGACATAACTGGGGATTGACCTCAGGCCCTTGCGCTTGCCAGGGAAGCGCTTATTCTACTGAGCCGTCTCTCTGGCCTCTTTACTGTATTTTCTTTTTTTTAGCAAGTTATTTTCATTCACTGCCATCTGCTTCCATCACAGCAGGTCTATAGTTCTGCAGTTTTCTAATGATAGTGCTTCTTATTTATTTTGCTTGAAAATCAGCATCATCAATACTATCCTCTAGAGGGCTGGAGAGATGGCTCAGTGGTCTAAAGCACCTACTTGGAACAAGCTTATCAAAGCATCAGGGACTGACTGCGGTTCAATCCCCCAGCACCACATGCCAGCCAGCCCCGCCCCCTGGTGGGCTGAGCTGGCCACACACACACACACCACTCTCTCTCTCTCTCTCTCTCTCTCTCTCTCTCTCTCTCTCTCTCTCTCAAATAAATAAAAAATTAAAAAAAAATACTATCCTCTAGAGAAATGCCATGTTGGGGTTTTAAAGACCTAAGGCACAGTAAGAAATATTACTAGAGAATGCATAAGTCTTAACCTTAATTAACTTCACATTTGATTTTTATTTTCTTAAAACACTTCAGCTTAACACATTAAGGTAGTCAGTTACATCTGAAGTAAGCTTGTGGCTATAAAAGTGCATCTACTTGGGGCAGGCAAGATGGCTCAGTGGAATAAGCGCTTCCTTGGCAAGCGCAAGGGCCTGAGTTCAATCCCCGGTTCCACCAAAAAAAGAAAAAATAAAAATAAAAGTGCATCTACCTATCCATATGAAATATATCTAAAATACATGTCATATGGGCCGGCGAGAAAGCTCAGTGGATTAAAGTGCTGGCTTAGGTAGATGCAGGGGCCAGGGGTTCGATCCCTGGGCCTGCCGCGCAGGTGCCGGTCCCACCCCTGGGGTGCGCTGAGAGGCTGACTGAGACTGAGTGGTGATGGCGCAGACCTGTAATCCTAGCGCTTGGGAGGCTAAAAACAGGAGAACTACTAGGAGTCTGATCTATGTAGTGAGACCCTATAGACCCCGTACTATATACATAAAAAAATAAAAAACATGTCATACATAACTTATTTATAGAGAGGGCTGAGACAGACCCTCACCATGTAGAGTAGGCTGATTGTGATCTCAAAGTAATCCATGTCTCAGTGTCCTGAGGGGTGGGATTACAGACGTGAACTACCATAACTATTATTAAAATATATTTAAAATATGTATTAATTCACTGGATCAAGATAGCTGCTCTTTTATTTCAAATCACATTATACACAAAGGTACATGTAATTTTTTTCTAAATGCTAATCTTTTTTTTTTTTTTTGGCAGAATGCGGGATTGAACTCAAGCCCTTGCATGTGCCAGGCAAGCCCTTATTCTACTGAGCCATCTCAATTTTTTTTTTTAAACTGGAAAGAACCTGGATTCAATATCCAGTGCTAAAAAAAAAATACTTGAATGAATTTATTGACTACATGCTGTGTTTCTAAGCAAGCTAATCAATTAGCCTGCCTTGAAGGTACTGAACACAAATTATACTTCAGTTATAAAGGTGAACTAAAAAGTACTACTTTCTAGAGCCTGGGATGTAGCTTAGTTCAATCCCCAGGACTGAAAATCAATAGCAACAAAAAAGTACTACATTCTATTTGAATGACAAAGGTCTCAGGCTTTCTGAAGTTTCAGAATCTGGTGTATAGCTCAGATGTCTGGGACTAAATATTGAAACATAAGTATATATGCGTACTAGGCTGGATTTGAGCAATCTGTATCAGCTCACCAAAGTACTTATGCAGACAGGATGCGGATCTCAGACCAGGCATTTGAAACCTATATTCTAATTATGTAACAAAACATTTCTACAACAGCCTTAATTTTTCTTTCTTCTTCTTTTTTTTTCGATACTGGGGATAGAACTCAGGACCCTGTGCTTACCATGCAAGCACTTAGTCTACTGAGCTATCTCCCCGGGCCCCAGCCTTAATTTTTCTGTGTGACTAAGGTATAGGAGAAAAGATCCTATGAAAATTTAGTTACACACACACACACACACACACACACACACACACACACATATTTTTGAGGCAGTCTCAGTATGTAGTTGAGAGGCCTTGAACTTGATGTGATACTCTTGCCTCAGTCTCCTGAGTGCTTGGATTACAGGCATGTTGGGCCTATATATAAATATATGGAAGAATGTATGCAGTGTGTTGGTTATTGGAACTGTCCTGCCAATTTGGTTTGAAGCTGTCTCACTGCTGTTTGTTTCTCAATAAAATTATGGGAAAAAGTATATATCATATATATATGTGTGTGTATTCAAAATATATTTAGTGCAGGGTCTACAGGGTCTCACTACATAGGTTATAGTGATCCTCCTGTTTTCAGCCTCCCAAGCATGCCACCATACCCCTCTCAACTGCTGTTTCCACTCGCCCTGGGGGCGGGGCTGGCACAGCAGACTAGGAATAAAACCTGATCCCTGCATCTGCCTAAACAAGTGCTTTAAGGCCTTTATATTTTCTGGTTGTTTAAACATACTTGTTTTTAGAAGGAAAAAAAAAAAAGATGATGAAGAAAAAAGGCTTACCAACCAACCTAAAAGATGGGCTGGCAGTTGTTATATAAAGACAATGGAATAAATTGTTTGTATTAATAAAAAAGGCAAATCTTCCTAAAAAGCTAGGAGAATACCCTCAACGCTTTTTTCTCTCTCTGTTAGAGAGCCTGAGAATAGGTATAGGTGGAAATAAAACAAAAACCAAACACACACACACACACACACACACACACACACACACACACAATATAGCACACTCAGGGATAACATCATGGAAATCAATGTCTCTGAAGGGCCAGGCAACAGTGTGAAGACACTCACCTTGATTCAGGGATGAGAAAACTAATTTTAGTTCATTTAGTTGGTACACGGATTTTCCCTAGGCCAAGTCAAAATATGCTCCCTGGGTGCTAACAACTAACCTTTGTCATTTCCTGTCTCACCTATGTCACTGGGCAATGGTAAGGAGTTCTCTAGGGTCCTAAATTATTGTTCTGATGTGTAAATATTCAGCCCATCATAAGTAATGCAAGTAAAAATTTAAAGCTTAGACATTTGGATGCCTCTGGTCATTTCTCTTATTTTTGCTCTCCTAATACAAAAGATTAAAGACAATCTATTTCATAAACCAAAGCAGTTATCTGAAAAAGACATTCACTATATTCTTTTCAGATTAATTTGAATCATTAATTACCAACTCAACTAAAATCCTGTTCTGAAAATTTTTGATGGTCAGGGCCGGCCAGACAGCTCAGTAGACTAAAGTGCCTGCTTAGGCAGAGAGTGTGCTGAGCGCCCTACCCCATCCCATCCTGCCCCCTGGGCACACTGTGAAGGCCATTGAGACTGGGTGTGGTGGTACAGCACCCTTGTAATCCCAGTGCTTGGGAGGCTGAAAACAGGAGACTCACTATAGAGTCCGAACTATGTAGAGGGACCCTCTAGATCCTGTACTAAAAAAACATTAAAAAAAAAAAAAAAAAAAAAAAAATTAAATTGGTGGTAAGTTTTGAAAAGAGCTTTCGTTTACTGCAGTGTCATTACAGGAGCTCAGTTATTTTCTAGAATTGTATTCTGGCAATTAATAAGCCCAAGAACTACTGATTGTAAATATTACAGAAATTTGTCCTGTCTGTGCATGGATGAAGCTTTCCTTTTTTAGCGCTTATCTTTAGGAGCCTAGATATACTCTTGGGCACAAAATAAGGCTGTTTCTCTGAAAATATACATAATGTAAGATCAAAAAACAGTAAGGGGACTAGGCATATGATTCAGAAAAATGAATACGGATAACTGGACCATTAAGCTCATTTACAGCATTCAAGTAGAAATTCCTTAGGATATTCTAAATTCTACAAAAACCATAAACATAAAAATTCCAGTTCCCCCACTTCTATCTTCCTTTTTACTTTGTTCGCGCAAATATGAACATATACACAATATTCTCCAGAAAATGCCTCCAAGGAATTATTTAATAAATCATAATAAAAATTGCACATTTTGGCAGCCATAAATTGTAGCATGGAAAATCCCAAAGGTCCAGCTTTTAGCAGCTGAGAGGTAGAAGATGCTTTATAAAGAAGTCCAATATCAAGAACTCTTTGAGTGTGACTGTATGAAAAAAAATATTTTAACTTGATTGAATATAAACATCAGAATTAAGTTGGCATTCAAAGAAACTACCTGGTATTCAAATTACAAACCTTTCCCATAAAGACAAAAGACTTATATTAGCTTAACAACACTGAAAGAGTAAGATACAAATAATTGCAATAGACAATGCAGCCCCTACTCTCTCCAAGCTAAATATTTCATTTGCATTCTAAAATCATCAATTTTATAAAAGTTATTAAATACAAATATCAAGAGGTTACCTGAAGTATAAGCAAACAATGTAAGAAAAATGGACTTAAAAATCTTTGCAGAAAGCTAAAAAACCACAGAGGTAAAGAACAAGATTAAACTATACATCAGGTAGTGAATAAAAGTAGGATTAGTTTACATCAATCCACATAAGCAAAATGCTATCTTGAACTGATCACTGAGTAAAGAATTACAAGTCCAAACAAGAGAGGGAGGTGTTTGAGAATAATCTGTAGAATGATCCAAGAAGCAAGAGAATTCTTTAAATCTCTCTTGTAAAAAACAGATGCCTGTACCACCTTGTGCCCACCCTCCCTCATACTCCTCTGAACACAATTGACAATGTTTGTACTCTTCAAAGTTCCAGGATCATAAAACAGCTTTGAAACAGCTGAATGACTTGCTTTCACTTCTGAATCATGGATTCCATTCAAATTCACTGTCCTTTCTCTACCTGGGGTGGAAGGGCAGGTTTGCCATTAAGAGCCATCTGTAAAGGAGCAGCCTGGCCTGGAGGTGATAAAGGGGCAGTCTTCAACTTCTTCGTACTAGTTTTGGATGAACGTTCCTCCTCCTCTTCATCAGAATCCTGAAGGCCATATTTAGAAAAATGGGAGACCTAAGGAAGAAAAAAAACCCAAAATAAATTTTAACAGTGCTCTATTCATAAATCACCATAATACCTGTCCTTGTAATTTGCAGCATTACCTTAATAAAAAGGAAAGATATCAAAATGTTTTAAGAAATTGAAATGTCACCTATTATAATTTATTTCTTTTCTGTAAAATTTAATGTTTGGTATCTACTATCACTTTTTAATTTTTATTTATTTAGGGAAGGGTGTACAGGGTGTTCAGGGTCTCACTACTATGTTGGACTCGGTGCTTATGCTACTGAGCTGCCTCTCCCATCAATGTCATTTTTAAATGCAAACAACAGAGACAATAAACTCAAGAATCATTACATATATTGCTTGCTCTCTACCTACACAAAGGCTCTTCAACTAGTTAAAAGTAAATGACAATTATTCAGGAAGATGTGAGTTACAAAAGACAATTCTGTCAGATGAATTACTAAAGTCACTAATTATGACACAGCACACCCCAGAAAAGTATCTAAAGCTCACAGAATGGAGGAGAGGAACTGGATCATATTCCTATAAAGTTTATAATAGCTTCCTACTGTTGAATTTTAGTGAGGTGTGTGATTTAGAGAAAATTATAATATAGCTCTATATCTATTTCTTGTTTGGCAGTGCCGGGGATTGAACTCAGGCCCTTGAGCTTGCCAGGCAAGCGGTTATTCTACTGAGCCATCTCCCCACATCTATTTCTTAATTTGCAGAAATAGAAGAGAATATAAGACAAGCTCTCTCTTTTTTTTTTTGGGTGGAACCGGGAATTGAACTCAGGCCCTTGCACTTGCCAGGGAAGCGCTTATTCCACTGAGCCATCTCACCGGCCCCTTTAAGGATTTTTTTCTGCTCCGAATGCCTTCAGGGCAGGTTTGGCTGGCTTGAGTTGTGGGGATCCAACCACAGCAACCTGATCCTGACTGCTTTGTTGAAGCAGCCACTTAAAGAACTGAGCTAAGGGGCAGGCCCCCACAAGATCTCTTTTTAAAAAAGTTTTTTTTGGACACAAACATTTTAAAACTCCAATTACAGTTTATAAAATTCAGACTTAGGTAAACTGACTGTACCTTAAATACCCAAGAGCCAGTTTCAGGCCGGTACTCTTTGAATTGTGCTCCCTGTTTCCTTGAAACTGCTTCCAATCTCCCCTCATAGTTGATATCAGCAAGTCGATCAGGACTCTTAATTAAACAACGAGATGTCTTATCCGTTGGCCAAACTCCATCCAATGTAACTTCAGCCTTCCTGTCAAGTATAACCAAAATATATGCTTCATATTCAAGTTGGAAAGGCAACTTACCTGTACATAAATAACAAACACAGGTATCTTACTTTGGAATTGTTTGCAGGCATTTCATGAACTTGCTTTTGCTTCCCATAGTAGTTACAGACAAGGAGTCGCTCTTACAACTTACTCAGTATATGGGTTCTAGACCTACTATTCTTATTTCAAGCTACCATGGTACAGCAATTATTTCCAGTCTAATTTTAGTAACAGCCAAGATATAAATAAGTCCTGTGGTCATAATCCAAAGTCTTACCATAGATCTTAACACTGAAGAAGATTTTGAAGACAAAATCCTTTGCCTCTTTTTTTTTTTTTTACTTTGTTTTGTTTTGCAGAACTAGGGATTAAATTTGGGACCTTGTGTGTGCCTGCCTGGCAAATTTCCCTGGTGCATATTGCATGCATACATATATTAGTTTATTTTTTTGAGACACGGTCTTAACACGATGCTGAGATGTCTGGGCTAGGTTTGGATTTGTGATCTTCATGGCTCTGCCTCCCAGAATGCTGGATTACAGGCATGCAACAGTACACCTAGCTTTCTTGGTAGTGTCTTTGCTGGCTTTATAATCACCTAATATGAAGAATCACATTATAGGATGATTTTGAAAGAGTTCCCCCTCACCCTCTCCTTCTCCCTCTCCCTCTGAAATGAGAACTCATGTCTGGAAAAATAATTAAAGAAGCTATTTGGCTCTGGGCTTGTCATTCCTGGGAGATATATGATTACTGACTGAATCTCCTGTTATAGGTTTACTCAGATTTTTCTGATTTTTCTTGATTCAGGACTGGCCAGTTATGAAGACAAAAAGATTGTTTTTCTTGGCGCGGGGGCGATGGGCCTCTCTGGCCGGCTGTTGCTGTGGCTCGGAGCTTTGGGTAAGTGCGCGCGTGGGGGGGGGGGGGGGGGGGGGGGGTGTTACTGAGAATTGGACTTGCGACCTTGCACTTGGCAGGCAGGTGCTTATGCTGCTGAGCTACATCCCTGCCTCCCAAGATAAATGATTTTAACTATGGTCCTTTCACCTGTCTTGAGGAATAACAGAAGCTAGGATTTCCCACTAATATAGTTAAGTATGGCCAGGGAAAAAAAAAACCAAAAAGGTATTAAAATGTTTCTGAATTAGCGATTAGACCTGTTAATAGTAGGGAAAGTGACTCCCTAAAATCAATGTGCGATTTCTTTATCATTTATACTTTTATTTAATTTTTAAAACTGTATTACAGAGTCTCTTTTTTATTTTTTTTCATGTTTTAAAACTTTTTATTTGCATATTAAAAAATTGTGCATTCCAATAATTAAAATCATTTGAACAAAAAAAAATGGCACTCTTATTAAACTGCATTTTACAGCCTGCAGGACACCTTGGACCAGCTTGAATTTCACTCTAGATTTCACCATCCTCCCACCCAGCTTCTTCCTCCACCAACATGCAAGCTCTTCTCCTTCCCTGCCAGCCACACAGGCCGATGGGGGAGGCAGGCGAGGCCTTCGTTGTCAGTAAGTAGTTCGAATGTGAAAGGGGCAGCACAGTCATTTAAACTTGATTCAACCTCTTTGCATCTTACAAAGTTAAACAGCTAAAAGAAGTAAAATAAGGCAATGCTTGTGGAATGTACAGTGCATATCGGCGATGCACGCCTCATTAGGATTCGCCTGCTTGCTTCTCTTGTTCAATTGTTTTTTTCGAAGGCAAAGGATTTTTCTCTTGCGTTTCTGTCTTCTTCAATTTCGACTTATCGAATTTCTCGATCTCAGCCATATCGGGTTTGTCAGACATGGTTGCGAGGAAGCGAGGCGAGGTGAAAGAGGAAGTGAAGTCTGATCTGCTCAGTGGCGAATGCGGAGTTCTTTTTTATTTGATAAGCAGTTTGGATTCATAGTGATCTTATCTCAGCCTTCCTAGCACAGGGATTTCAGGGGTGTGCCACCACTCCCAGCTTCAGGGCTGGCATGGAACAACCAGGGCACCAAGGATTGAACCTGGGTCATTCTGCTTGCCAGGCAGACAACCAAACTATCTCCCCAACCCCATACTTTTTTAAAAAAAATTTATGTGTCTGGTACAGTGTCTCACTATGCAGGTTAGACTTAGTGATCCTTCTATCTCAGCCTTCTCAGTGCTGGGATTACAGGCACGCACCACTGCCACCACGCCTGGTCTTTGGCACATGGGTGGGGCCAGTAGAAACCTGGGTGCTTGCACTTGCCTAGGCAGGCGGTAAGACCGATGAGCTATTTCTGCGACCCAGCCCCATACTTTTAAATAAAATTGGAAAAATAGTAATTATATTTCACATTAAGTTAAAAAAAAAAAAAAAAAAGAAAAAGAAAAGAAAAACTGCAGAAGCAGGTATGTGTAGGATCGCATTTGTTTTGATTGCTTTTTATGGTGCTAGGGATCAAACCCATGGCCTTATTGCATTCCAGGCAGACATTCTACTCTGAAAGCTGTATCCTCAGCACCCATTCATGTTTACAGAAAAAAAGAAAAACAACCCATGATTTAGCTGATTATTTACATGTATGAATTCTTACCTATTTAGCCCTTCACCCACAGGTGGCTTCTGGTCATCATCCAAGTAGACAATAACTTCTTTCCTTCGGATATGTACAATATCATCCAAATTGAGATTTGTCAAATTCACATCTCCTTCAAAATAGATTGAGCCATAACCTACAAGTCAGAGCACACTGTTACAAATTCATCCTGTATGAGGAAGCCAATACCTACTATATATCCATACTGATACAAAATAGTAAGAAGTGGACAGCTTTAAAAAGTAACTATTTTAAATGACGTAACAACTCTTGGAGTGGGTCATTTCCTTCATAATACAGCTCATGTGGGACAGGGAGAGCTGATATTAATTATACCCATATCTGATCTTATCTGCACTTTTATAATCTGCTATCCCTCAAAAGCCTTTTTAAATCTTTTCCCAAGTATATGTAATATTGCCATATAAACCATTATAACTTCATCTAAATGCCTCAGGCCTTTTAAAAATACAATATGCCAAGATATCCAAGACATGCTATCTGTAATAATGTGATGTTATCAAATATAATGCAATCATTCAGTTTTTTAAATTTAGTATTTGTTTTTTCTGTGATGTTAAGGACTGAGGCAAGCCCCCCAAGTATCTTAGTTCTTTTTATTATTTTAAGAGTTGCTCAGGCATGCTTCAAACTTAGTGATAGTCCTGCCTTAACATCCTGAGTGACTAGGACAACAGTTGTGTGCCACAGTCCTGGCTCGCTTAGTATTACCTAGTATTTCCAGTACTTTCATTTTGGAAAACTGCAACCAGTTACTAGCCCAATGAAGAATACCTAAGCCCAAAGAATGAATTATACAATCTACAGAGTTTTTGGTTTTGATCTGCTTGTCAAAGCTTCTACTATTCAGACACAAGGGGACCCAAAGACCCAATGAAAGGAAAACAAACAGAAAACCACATCTACTATCAAGGCCTTCTCCTTATTAAGAAAAGAAGGGAAAAGTTAAAAGAAGAGAGAAAAGAAGGAAAACATGAAAACAAAATTTTTGTAAATGTGGAGAGGAGGGAACTAAAGGATAGTAGTGGAAATGGAAAAAAGCTGTATCATGTACAGGCACAAATTCTCTGTAATGAATATGACTATTATGTGTTATCTAAAATGTAAAAATTATTTTAAAAAGTAACAAAAATCTCTCATTTTTTAAAAAAGTTTCCTCTCATTACAGAAACGAAGTACAAATCTTCAGCTTATATGCCAACTCCTAAATTCATACTCACCTTTACGACCAATGGTGAAGTCAGAAACAATGCACTCTCCTTTTTCATTGGTGATTTTGGCAAGATCATCCATAGATGGAATAGTATAGTAACCAACTCTAGTAAGAACAATGCCTATTACCAAAAAAATTAAAATTAAATACTAATATGTGATTATCCTTGGGCAGAGGAATTCTTAGTAATATCTATTTCAATTTATATTTTTTTCATGACACGATTTTTAAGTTACCTGAATTATTCAGTAACTAAATTCTCACATAAAGAGAAAATACAACACAATAAAAGGCTTTTTAAAAATTAGTTTTTTTAACAAACACAATTATTGAGGAACATGTATTTTAAGAACAGGGATCAAGGTCAAGTAAATTTCAGGAATACAACATACATAATAGCATAGCATAGACTCTATTTATAATGAAATCTTTACATGTCCAGAGAGTTGTATCAGGATGATTTGAAAAATCCTACAAGAGGAAATTCTAAATGCAAAGTTAAAAGGTCTGCAATTAGTATTATTAAAAATTCAACTGAAATTAAGATTTTAGATATACCCAAATGACATCTGATGGCCGAAGAAAAAGCAATATTAAAATTGAAAGGGAGGCAGAGGCAGAAAGATCACTGTAAGTTTGAGGCCAGCCTGGGCTACAAAGTAACTTCAAGGTCAGCCTCAACTACATAGCAAAACCTTGTCAAGAGGGACAGAGGGACGGAGGGAGGGAGAGAACTAGGGAAGGAGGGAGAGAGAGAATCAGGGAAGGAGGGAGAGAAACGCAGCAAACAAATGGTAAGTTATTTTTACAACTCCTTGCCACTATAGCTAGGTATCAGGTTAAATTCTTAAGAGAAAAAATATTTAAGGTTGATGTCAGATCAAACTCCAACCTGCAGCAGTTTCAACTTGTAAACCTGCTTGCTTCTTTACAAGCAAGATTCAGAGAGATGTTAAGAGTAGGAGGAAAAAAAAAAAAGTAGGAGAGCTCTAAATGGAAACAAGGGAGCTGGCCAGATAGCTCAGTGGTCTACAGCGCCTGCTTATGCAAGTTTAGGCAGCACAGAGACTGCGCAGTTTGATCCTGGCACCACATGCTGCACCAGCCCCACCACCAGGGCAGGCTGAGCTGGCCACAAACAGAAAAATAAAAATAAATAAAAGGAAACAAGGTCAGAAAAAAACTAGGGGAAAATGTATTGACTGTCTATTTGAATTAAAGATACAATTATCATAATAAATGTATGTAGATAAACATATGCAAATATATTTAAGATTTTTATTTTGGGGGCAGGATGTCTCTGTGTAGTCTGGGCTAGTCTTATAACCCAGAGAGAGGCTTATGTAACCCAGAAGCTGGACTTGAATGCAATAATCCTCCTGCCTTAGCCTCCTCAGGGCTGGAATCCTGTGTGCCACCATGCCTGGCTACATTTGGGATTCTTTTTTTAAAAAATACATTTAGTATGGGGTCTTCAGGGTTTCACTACACACATCGGACTCAGTAATTCTCCTGTTTTCAGTCTCCGGAAGTGCTGGGAATACAGGTGTGCCACCCCCCCCCAATCTCAATGTCTCAGCGCGGGTTGGGGGTGGGGGCCCAGTCACTGCATCTGACTAAGCAGGTGCTTTAATCCAATGAGCTATCTGGCTGGCGCACATTTGGGACTCTTAATGTGAAAGTACAAAACCTATTTCTTACAGGCACTGAGCAACCAGAAGATATATAAAATTTTCATACACTTGAACAATGATTGTAAATCAATTCAAATGTTCATTACTGGAGAATGAAAACAAAATATAGCACATAAAAATGTGAACTGTTGATATATGTATCATGGATGAAATCTGAAATTATATTGAATCAAAAAGTAGATAATGCTTTTCTCCAAGGCCGAAGCAACGTGAGGGAGACGAGAGTAACGCGCAGGTTGCAGCTGCTACCATGAGCCTCCTCAACAAGCCCAAGAGTGAGATGACCCCAGAGGAGCTGCAGAAGGGGGAAGAGGAGGAATTTAACACAGGTCCACTTTCTGTGCTGACCCAGTCAGTCAAGAATAACACTCAGGTGCTCATCAACTGCTGCAACAAGAAACTGCTAGGCCGGGTGAAGGCCTTTGACAGGCACTGCAACATGGTGCTGGAGAACGTGAAAGAGATGTGGACTGGGGTCCCCAAGAGCCGCAAGGGCAAGAAGTCCAAGCCGGTCAACAAGGACCGCTACATCTCCAAGATGTTTCTGCGTGGGGACTCAGTCATCGTGGTGCTGTGGAACCCACTCATCGCTGGCAAGTAGGGGCTGCCTCCCTGCTTTCAGTACCCGCTCCCGCCCCTTGAAGACCTGCCCTTCATCACTGTACTGATAATAAAGTGCTCTGTGTTTAAAAAAAAAAAAAGTAGATAGTAAGGGCCGGCCTGATAGCTCAGCAGACTAAAGGGTCTGCGTAGGCAGAGCATAGTGGCCAGCATTTGAACCCCATCGTGCTGTGTTGGCCCCACCCCCAGGGATGCTGAGACAGGGATTGAGACTGGGCCTGGTGGCGCATGACTGTAATCCCAGCACTTGGGAGGCTGAAAACAGGAGAATCACTAGATTCTGATCTACTTAGTGAGCCTGTAGACCTTACTCTAAATACATTAAAAAAAAAAAAAGTAGATAGCATATGAAGTGCAGGAAAGGTAGAAGTAATGTATATGACAGAAATCAGAACTGCAGTTGAATTCTGGGAGTGAGAACTCAAAGGAACTTTCAAAGGCAAACTGCATTCTCTATCTTGTTTGGTTGTCAAACTGAAACAAATCCTTATGATTGGTGTACTTCTTAATCATATGCAAATTTTAACTTGAGTTTATTTAAATGGGAAAAAAGGAATGCTAACCCAAATCCAACTGAAATACTATGTCAGCATAGATATATTCACAAAGGCAAAAGTTGGGGAGAAGGTAAGCTGGAAAATCAAGACACCTAAATTTTGTAGTTTACATAACACATTAGTCTTTGGTGAAGGGTAAACAGAATTGAGGTGACAAAAATCACAGCAACAGTTACCAACTGAATGCCTAGTACATTGTATGTCACACCTTATGGTATATATAGCTAACTAAATTTGTGATACAGTACAAAATTATTATTCTCAATTGAAAAAAATAACTGAATTTATAAAGTTAGGACAAGTTATAAAAGTTGGACTCTTCAAACTAAGATAAAACATCAATTTTAAGTATATATTCCAAAATTATAAAAGTATGTGAATTTGACCTGCTGGATGCGAATGGTAAACATTATTTTCTATTTCTTCTCTGTCATCCTGCAGTGACTCATCATGAAAAGAGGTTTCTTCACTGCTTCCTTCCAGTCCATTTCGCAAAGCAACACGCATATTTAATGCAACAATGGTATCATCCACACTGCTGCTGCTGTTGTGTTTATTTCCAGCATTCTCTGGAGTTTGAGGAATGGGTTTGGCAATAGGGTTATTATAAAAACGTGACACAAGAGAATCATCATCTCCATCCTGCTGCTGGTTCTCATCAACAGGTTTGCTCAGGAAACTAAATCTGAAAAGAAAAAAAAAAAAAAAAAAGGAATAACTTAGCCTCTTCTACTAGTAATAATGATAATAGCTAACCTTTCCTGAGGCACAGTTCTGGGTAATTCCATGTATTAAAAACTAACTTAAGGTATTGAAGGGAGGGGGAAAATAAAAAGAATCAAGTTATATCATGTATGGATACAAATTCTCTATGATGAATATTCCATTATTTATATCTAAAATGTAACAATCTGAAGAAACTAATACTGATAGTAATCTGTGAAATAGGTTGTAATTTCTGTTTCTTTTAAATGGAGGAGTCACAAAAAAGTAACAGCCCAACATCACAAAGCACTGAGTAGTAAGAGTGGGAATTTGTGTTTTTTGCTTAGTTTGTTTGGTTACAAGGCACTGAACCCAGGGCCTCACATTGCACTACATCATCAGCCCTTTTAAAAATGTTTTAGTTAGAGACAGGATCTTGTTGCTAAGTGACTGTGTTGCCTAGGCAGTGCTTGAACTTGTGTCTTCCTGTCTAAACCTTCTGATGGGATTCCAAGCAAATGCCACTACTGATTAGAATTGTAATTTCAAACATGAAACATCTAATTAGATTTCATGCATTTAATTTTTTCATTTCCATGAATGAATGGACCTGAGTATCCCAATTTTTTTTTGTATGTACACCCATGTTTATAGCAGCACAATTTGTCCTAGATGTCCATCAACTGAAGAATATATGAAGATGTAGTATTTTTATACAATGGAGCATCACACAGCTATAAAACAGGACAAATCTGAGGTTTCTGTTGGTAAATGGATGCAACTGGAGAACATACTCTTAAGGGAAATACATCAGACCTGCATGTGCAAACATCGTATTATCTCCCCAGTGTGAGAATCTTATCTTCTGGCAAAGGTTTGTTTTTGGATTCAGACAAAATTTGCATTCTCCACATTGTGGTATGTAAAGTGGGATGACAGTATCACCTGCCTTAAATTTAGTAATTCCTTCACCAACACCTTCTACAATCCCAGTACCTTCATGTCCCAAGATCACTGGAAAAAAACCCCTCTGGATCAGCTCCACTCAGGGTATATGCATCAGTATGACAAACTGCAGTGGCAATGATCTTAACTTGAACTTCATGAGCCTTTGGGGGTGCTACCTCAATCTCCTCTATAGAAAGAGGCTTTCCAGGTTCCCAAGCAAATGCAGCCTTGCATTTGATAACCTAGGGCGCCATCCTCACAGAAGCGTCCGCACCGGAAGGCTAGCAAGACTGTGCCCCAATTTTTTAAAAGAGAAAGTATACCCTACTGTATAGGAGTAAATGATTAGTGGTAAAAGACTAAAAAATACATCAAATTAGGATTTATGCAGACTGAAAGGCTATATAATATATATTTACATATATAAGGATTATTTTACTGAAGCATTATACCAAGTAATACAGATTTTTACTAATGGGAGTAAATTGTTTTATATTTACAATACCTATTCAAACATTAAAAATGAAGAAGCAGAGAAAGTCAGGTACAGAAAGGCATTACACTATGCATACACACTATCTACAGTATATCAGTAAGAATGTATTTCTACATAAACAAATTTCAAAAATAGAATATAGATAAACCATGAAGAACTGATGCGTATTTTTGACTCTTTTATATACATGCTCTATACTGATTCTGTTTTTTTTTTCAAGATATTAAATATTTTTATTTCTTTAAATTTAACACGTGTACACAGCATCAGTTTCTTTTTTTGTTTGTTTGTTTATTTTATTTTTTTTTCAACAAATAATACACTGCATATATTCTTCTTAGTGGTTAATTGCTGTACAAGATGCAGATTTGTGATCCTACTTACAAACACCATTAGAAAAAATCATTCTATTCATTAAGAGAATGAAAATATATATCTATCCCAACCACTTTGAATACACAGATACATAATGGACATTCATAGTTATACCCCATTTTTTTTTTTAAGTTCCGTTATTGAATATTATAGGCGTGTAAACTCAGCAAAATATTCTAAAAGAGTACAGAAGCCCATAATAGCATTGGGTCTTCTGTTTAATTGGCAATGTCAGAAATTATTGACGTGAGTCCCCCACAGCTCAACATAACAACATGGATTTACTTCCTATATTTCATCTTCATACTTTTCTACTGGATGGTTAAGACCAAGGTAAAGCAGGACCTATGCAACAAGAGTTGTAGCTTTTTGGTTTGAGAAGGTCAGTGAAATGCCCTCAGGATTTATCCTGAGATCCTGTATCTCAGATTGTAGAACCTTTGTCAGTGCAGCCATGTGGATGAGTCACGGTGATTCTTTGTTGTCTTGTTTTTTTTTTCTCCTTGGTACTGGCAATCAAACTCAGGACCTTGTGCTTGCCAGGCAGGGACCTAAGCCACTGAGCTATACCCCCAACCCTATACTGATTTGTTTGGTTACAACAGAGTAAAGTAACAATCACTACAAACAAAGTACTCTTTATTTTAGGAAGATGAGGGGTTTCAAATATATGCTAACCCTATCCAATATAGTGTTACACAAATCCCAAAATAACTGTGTAGTAACAAATCCGAACTCTAATAAATTACAAGTCTAATGTATGTAAGAAATAAAAAATAAGATTTTCTAAGTGTTTCTAAGCTGTCATCATTCCAAGCAACATTCACCAGTCTTCAAAATTTTTTATATAATTTGAAGCTCAAGGCCAGGTGGTGGTGCACACCTGTAATGACAGGTACTTACTTGGGAGGCTAAGATAAGAGGATCATAAGTTTTAAAACTAGCTTGGGAAAGTTCGTTAGATTATCTCAAAAAATAAAAAAGGGGAGGGAAGTGACTCAATGGTAGACTACTCACTTAGCATATGTGAGGCTCTGGACTTAATTTCCAGTGTAAAAGAAAAAAAATTTTAAATAAAACAAAAGAAAATCTAATGCCTGTAATCCCAGCACTGTGAGGCTGAGGCAGGAGGACCCTTGCGAGTTCAAGACCAGCCTGGGCTACCAAGCGAGCTCAAGACCAGCCTGAACTGCATAGTCAGACCCTGTCTCAAAAAAGAAAAAAAGAAATCTTAAGTTAAAGATCTCTGCAAAATATGAAAAGAGCTCAGAACAATTTTGTTTACCTTTCTCCATTTTCTGGATATTCAGAGGGTGAAGCCAGATCTTCTGAATCACGATTAACAGGGGAAAACAGATTGCTATTGTTAAGGTTCTTCAAGACCAGCTTCTTAATGCTCTTCCTATAAAAAACACACACATACACACACACACACACACACACACACACACGCACACACACACACACACAAGGTCAAGCACACAGTTGTATTATCCACATTACCCACAAACTTGGGCCCTTCAAGAGAGCATTCTTGTTCAACTTTTTTTTTTTTTTTAAGCTAGGGTCTGACTATATTGCACTCTGTGGTTTGGAACAATAAAGCAAAGGATATTCACAAAACTGAAAATCCCTTTTGAGTATCCTCTTCCTCCTCTGAACCCCTTGAGCGCTATCACTCATAATGAATTTCCACTTGTTCTCAAAGCTTACCAAAAGAAAATTTAAAAACTGATCTTTTTTTCTGATGAGAAAAGTACTTGCTTTAAAAAAAATAAAACCTGTAAATGAGCCAGGCATACTGGTGCATGTCTGTAAACCTAGCACTCAGGAGGCTGAGGCAGGAGGATCACCTTAAATTCAAGGCCAGTCTAAACTATAACATGAAATCCTGACTCAAAAAGGTGTCTAGCTGTGAAAATATAAAAATCCAGAAATGAAATGCCTTGACATTCCACTGTCCTAATAACATTAAATATTTAATGGTATGGCTTTTTTCAGGATATTTTCTAAGCATAAAGCAACACTCTAGGGAAATCATATAAATGGGCATTTTGATGCTTAATAACTCTTTTATAAATCTTCCTGTATATTTTTCTGTGTATTGCTCAGGCAAGTACTGTACAGAGCTAAATCCTTTACCCTTGGCATTTTGAGTTCTACCCAAAAACTACAAAAAAAGTACTAATTTTTCAAAAACAAAACATCCATATAAAACAAGAAACACAGTCAAACTATTTTTATGTTAACTATTGTTATCCGAGTGATGAATTTATTTTTAGCTTCTGTGATGTATTTTTCAAAATAAAAAGCAAGCTGTATTACAGCTCTACTAAATTTAAATAATTATACATTTAATCAATATTTTATGTATTTGGTAGAGGATCTCACTACACAGCTCAGATTTGTAATGATCCTCTTGTTTTCAGCTTCCCCAGCCCTGGGAATGTAGGTGTGCACTACCACACCTATACGGTGGCCAGTGTAGCATGTGGTGCTGGGGATCAAACTCTGGTCCCTGCGCTTGCCTAAGCAGGCGCTTAGTCCACTGAGCTATTTTGCTGGACCTTGATCAACATTTTATACTGAATTTAGATTAACAAAACCCAAACTTACTTAGGCATGAATGCTCCATTGGCTAGGGATGGTTCATCATCATCCAGCCCATCAAATAGATGTGATTTGGTTGTGCCTGCTGTTTGTAAAGCCTTGGGCCGGACTCTGGTGGCAGGGCGGGGTGTCAGTTTATAATGAGTGGGTGTAGTAAGAGCCTTCTGAGCTGCTGGATTTGTTGGTTTCAATCTCTAAAAAAGAAAAGAAAAGCATCAAGAAAACTTCTGCTTTAATGTGTAGATCTGGCCTAAAATATCAGACCAGAGTTGAAACTTCATCTCCACCATTAGCCTGTGAAATACTTCCTGAAATCTCCCTTAAAACAAGTACGTTATTAGGTGTGGTGGCTCACTCCTGTAATCCCACTTTTTGGGAGGCTGAAGCAGGATGATTGCCAGAATTCTGAGGTCAGTTTGGGCGACAATATTAGTGAGAAAACCAGGAAGATAGTTTAGTGGCTTAAGCTGCTTGGCAAGCTGCAAAGTCCTGAGTTCAATCTTTAATAACCCCTGCAAAAAAGTGACCAGTTATTAAAAAAAACCAAAAAATAAAAATAAATCATAGGATGCACTACACTCCATCAAGCTGTCACTGCTTATTTTATTTTTGTCACTATCTTTCTATCTATCTCTCAATACAAAGGTCAAGTAGCTTGTCAGCAATGAAATAAAGTTACTATCTGTACCCACAGAGGGGCAGAATGAACTCACATTTAGAATTCTGGGATGACCTTGAACTCTATTTGTAATTTGTACCTTACCTTGGAACCTACTACTTTGTGACAAGAGAACACAGAGCAATCCCAGCATCTTGAGGAATCCAAAGTGAGCCCAACTACTGGTTCTTTAAGGGATGAGCAGGACCAGTGCCAGTGGCCGCCCAGAGGGCCTTCTGGGTGGGTCTGGATGGGTCCTATGTTGCCTTGTAACCCATAAGAGAACAGCTGTGACCTGAAGCTGGCAGTCAGAACTCAAAGCAGGGGACATGGCAGACTAGGGCACCACTGGTGCTCTAGACACTGCTCTGCTGCCACTGCTGAGCAGAGCAGTGACTCATTTTCAGAGAATGTGTTATGGACTACATGGGACCTCAGCTATGAATGTCCCACTATGCAGGCCCACAATCCCTTCACTCCCTGGGACTCAACTTTGGAAGCCCAGGCTGGAGTTTGCAGGAGGATTCTTCTTGGAAACTCTGAGACACCACCTTCATTCTGGTCCAGCAGCCATCCAGAGTGTTGAGACCCAAGATGAAAAGGCTAAAGGATCTTTCACTAACAAGAGTTTGTACTGAGCTTTGTCATTTCAGATCTACAATGTCTAAATTTAAGAATCCACCTGGCTACATAAACTGCCAACTGCTTACTAATGAATGTTAAACATCAAGGTACAATGCTCTAACAATGCATGTACTTTCCTTGGAAATGAATAGAACTATGGTGCATCTGATAGATCATCACCTCTTAGTCTCTTCTAAGTTAATAATAATAAAAAAGAATACCTCTTCTTTCTTCTTGGGGTCTGACATGGGGTTCCGGAAGAGAGGAGAGTCTCCAAAAGGCGAGTATGTCAGACTATTGAGATGCTGTTGGAGAACAGCCTGCTGGGCAGCAGAAGCATTTGGATCAGTCAAAGCTTTTCAAAAGAAGAAAAAGAAAAAATGATGTCATTAAAGACCCAACACATTCATAACAAAAATTTATGAGCACTTTTGGGAGATGAAGTCTTCACAGTGTTCAGACTTGATGGCATTACTGAGAGGAAGGTATGGAACAAACTGAAAAAAAGCATGGATTCAATAAAATAATCAAAGATATAACATTCTTAATATCTTAATAATACGCATAAAAGTTCAATTACAAGCTGCTCACTGTCACTAATAACCAGGAAAGGCAAAACTGAACCAACTTTGAGCCACAGATATAGTTCAGCACCTGTCTGGCCAGTGTGAAGTCATAAGTTCAACTCCTGGTACTAAAAACAAAAAAGAAAAACAAACTTCAAAAACTGCTTTATATATATTTCATCATTATTGGTACTAATGTATAAAGAGTTATACTCTCTGACCTCTAATACTACTAAAGACTAATTTAACCTAAAAGAAGCAATGAAAAGTTAAAAAAAAAAAAAATGACAGTATACGCAGCAAGTACTACTTTAATTGCTTTCACCTTGCAATTTAAAACATGGATGCTAAAAAAATAAAATAAAATAATAAAACATGGATATTTACCAAGGACCTAAACTGATAAAATAAACATTTCTATGTGTTCATTGCAAATTATCTGTAATATTCAAGAATTAGAAACAATGTATGTGACCTATATTAAGTTAATGGTCATGCTATATCAATGGTGGGTTATGAATAAAAATTACTGACTATCTTACTGTGGAAATATAAAAGTGTCTATGACATAGTAAATGAAAATCCAGAAAAAAAAAAAAAAAAAAGTTTTAGAGGCCATAGGTGTACCTCAGTAAAAAGCTTGCTTAACACACATGAGGCCCTGACTTCAATAACCAGCACTGGCTGCCCTCTTCCCTTTTTTACACTAGGATTTTTCAGCATTTTTATACATTTATCACCTACATTTCATGCATTTTTATACATTTATCACCTACATTTAATACCCGTAAATAAATATATACCTGAAGGTGGAAAAAACCCACCAACTTAGTCTAATTTTCTCTCAAGGAATCAGTCAGGGCTGGAATATAGCTCAGCAGCACAAGTTCCTGCCTGGCAGGGGCAAGGTCCTGAGGACAATTCCCGGTTTAACAAACAAACAAAAAAAAAAAAAAAAAAAATCAAGGAATCAGTCAGATAACTTGGGAAACAAAAATTCATAATCTATGACAGTATAAATAGTATAAGTCATAAAAAGAAAACTGTGATGATATCTTTTGGCACAAAAAAATAAAACTTTCTAATACTGATCAAAATACATAAACTCATTTTAGAGATTAAAAACTACTTATCCCCTTAAAAACTTTTAGAAATAGGCTAACATCAAATATATGGTAGATAATATACATTAAAGGAATACTATAAACAAAAAACAATTTGAAAATTCTCTCAAATGGGATGAGGGGAGATGACAAAAACAACAGCAACAAAAACCAGAAAAACAAGTGGCTTCCCCTTTAGTCCTACAAAGCTTTCTTAAAATCGGATGTACTTATGAAATACTAAAACACTGTATGGGAGACCGTGCCACGCTGGGCCTACCCCCAGGTGCCCTGAGCCAGCAATGGAGTCCAAGTGTGGTGGTACACACCTGTAATCCTAGCACTAGGGAGACAGCAAACAGGAGGATCACTAGAGTCCAAGCTGCGTAATGAGACCCTACACACACACACACACACACACACACACACACACACACACACAGAGTTAAAAATGTATTTCAGGGGACTGAGTCCAGGACCTTTTCACTGAGCTACACCCCCACTCTTCTTAATTTTTTTATTTTGAAACACTATCTTACTAAGTCACCCAGACTGTGCTCAAACTGACAATCTTTCAGCCTTCTCAAGACTATTGGGATTACAGGCGTGTATCACTACACCTAGCTATACACTGTATTGTACTGTACTGTATTTGTTTCCTAAGACAGGGTCTTGCTATGCAGTTCAGGATAGCTTCAAACTCACTAGTTCAGGCTGATCTTGAATTTGTTGCTATCATGTATCTGCCTCTGGAGGATATGAATTACAGGAAAGTGCCACCACAACTGGCTATGTATGTTGTTAGTGGACTAGGGATTGTGCTCAGTGATAAAGCATTTACTCAGCATGTATAAACCCCTAGGTTGATTCCCAGCCCCACCAACAAAAAAAAAAAAAAAAGAAAGAAAGTTATAAAGAGGTGGTACCAAGTCCAGCCTAGAGACACACATCTATAATTCTAGCACTAGGGAGGCTGAGGCAGAAGAATCAAAACCTCAAGGCCAGCCTGAACTATATACTTTTTTAAAATTTTGGTACAGGGTCTCACTATGCAGCTTGGACTTGTAGAGATTCTCCAGCTTTCAGCCTCCCCCAAGCGCTGGGATAACAGGTGTGCTCTATCATGCCCAGTCTCACTGGCCAGCTCAACCTGCCTGGGGGGCGGGGCCCGGTGAGGCCTGTGGTGCTGGGGATCGAATCCCGGTCCCTGTACTTACCTAAGCAGGCGCTTACTCAGCTGAGCTATCTCTATGGCCCTATACAGACATCTCTTCTTAAAAAAAAAAAAAAAAAAAGTAGTGCAAATTTGCTCAAGATTTTGCAATCCAGAAATGTTAATTTAATAAAGAATATAGAGCTAATCATCTTTATTAATGGTATTCTTACCCCAACTTAAGATAACAGGTGTGTAAAAAGTATTGGCCACTGCCAGGAATGGCTGTGTGCACCTGCAATTGAAGCACTCTAGGAGGCTGAGGCAGAAGATTGCCAGTTTGAACCCAGCCTAGTCAAATTTGATGAGATCTTAAACTTGATGAGATCCTGACTCAAAAATAAAGGTTGGACATCTAGCTTGGTGCAAATGTCCTAGACTCAATATCTCTAGTACCAAAGAAACAAAGAATAAGAAAGTATTCAATAATATTAGAAATAACATGCCATATTATTTTTGGGACTACACAAAGAGAGTAAGTTTTACAGAGCTCTAATTTTTTTGATAATGATCCTATTTCTTCAGTTATCCTTTAAAAAATCTATTATAGGTTTTGACCTATAATAGGTGATCCCATCCTGTTACCATGTATCAGCCATCCCACCTGAACTTGCTCAAAGGAATATAATCATCCTTTAACAAAGTCAAACACAATTAGGAAAGTGTATGAGCAAGTTTTATTTTAGTATTACAAAACCTTTCCTATGTTTACTTATTATTAAAATATACAGATGAGAGAGGTGATGTATTAGCAAAATTAAAGGAATAAACAAGCACTATTTATGCTAATACTAGTGGTATATTTGATTCTGGACCTAACAATTTTTTGTTTTGGGGGGAAAGTTGTTTTAGTTTTTTTGAGACAGAGCCTTGTTATATAGTTCAAAATGGCCTCATCATCACGGTGATCTCTTGCCTCGACCTCCAAAATGGGGAGATTACTCCCAAGATGTCTGCTACTATACCAAGCATGACAATTTGGTATAGGTGCCAAAAAACTAAACCATGACCAAATGATTAAAGGAATCAGATAAAATATAAAAACGAATTATATGATAAAACAGAAGAAACTGACAATAATTTATCCGGGGGCCAGCCAGATAGCTCAGTGGATTAAAGTGCCTGCTTAGGCAGACTCAGGGGCTGGGGGTTCGATCCCCAGCCTGCCCTGCTAGTGCCAATGCCAGCCCTGCCCCCAGGGCACACAGAGACAGCAATTGAGACTGGGTGTGGTGGTGCACACTCCTGTAATACCAGCACTTGGGAGGCTGAAAACAGGAGGATCACTAAGAGTCTGATCTGTATAGTGAGACCCTGTACTAAATACATAAAAAATATTAATTTATCTGGAAGAAAGGCAATGAGTTACCCCCCCCAGACACACACATGCACACACGCATGCAATTAGTTTTGCTTAGGCTTAGAAGTAGAATTACTGACTGAAAATTCTGCAGAAGCAGGGTTAGCTTTCTATACAATCTGAACAATGACTAGACCACTTTGCAAAGGATTGATTAGGCAAGCACAGGGTCTGAGGCTGGATCCCCAGCACCACACGCTGCACCCCAGGGCAGGCTAAGCACCCTTCCCCCAGTCACTAGGAATCCAGGCTGCATAATGAGACCATGTACCAAATAAATTAATTAATTAATCTTAAAAAAAATTGAGAGGTCTAATTGGTGAACATAATGGGGATCAAACTCGACCTTGTGCTTGCCAGGCAGGTGCTTAAGCCGCTGAGCTATCTCCCTGGTCCTGAGAGGACTTTTGGGTAAAAATCTTATTTGTAGACTACTTATCCTAAAATGAAATGTGCTGGTACACAACCTCTACCCACAAACACAAAAGTGACAGGGAGGTTTTCTTCTCTTTTTAAAATCTGATTCTTAATAGAAAGAAACATTCTGAACAGAAAAAAACAACAAACATCAGGATCAACAGAAAAATCTCAAAGGTCTGAAGAACAGAAAAAACAAAAATCAGTCACTAACAAATCCATTTTTAAGAAATACTGTATCTAAGAACTAAGTGTTTGAAAAAAATAGAACATTCAGAAAACCAGAATTCTTATAAATTAAAAATCTGAAGAGTATTTACAAAGCCAAAAAAACTTTCTAGAGAGTAACAACAGTATGATACAAGCATATAAGATTAAACACACACACCCACACCCACACAATCAAAGCAATAAAACTTCAGAACAAAAGAATAATCCCATATGCTTTCAAAGGTGTGCGGAACAGGTCATGTAAGAATTGGAAAGGCATTAGATCATCAGTAATGGTCACTGCAATGAGTAAGATCAAAGTTCCATGGATAAATACAACCCACATTCAAATTTTGTTAACATTTACTTATTTATTTATTAGTTATTTGGTACAGGATCTCACTATGCAGCTTGGACTCACAGTGATCCTCCTATTTTTCAGCCTCCCCAGCACTGGGATTACAGGCTTACACCACACCACCCCATCTCAGTTGCTTGTTCAGTGTACCCTGGGGCTGGGCTGGCATGGCATGAGGTGCTGGGGATCAGATCCTGGTCCCTGTATTTGCCTAAGCAGGCGCGTAGTCCTCTAAGCTATCATGTCAGCTTGGTTAACATTAAATTGTAGGGAATGAAGTTATTTTCAGACTTGTTAAGTATTCAAAGTTTACCACTCAAATATACATCATTTACTAACATATTCCAGAAAATTCAGGAAATACAGAGGGGAAATTCTCAACACAGCAGTTCTGAGTAGACATAAAAAGTATATCCTGGGACAATAATGAAGGCTTAGAGAATAACCATTTCTTCTGCTGCAGGAGAATAGAGGATTAAGAAAAATGAGCATGGGGGTGTGTCAGTGAAGAATTCTGCTATCATTCTTAGCAATCTGAAATAGTTAAGATGATGGTAGTTAATACAGGGGAAAAACTTGCAGGTATATGTAAAGGGGTACTATACTGGGCACTGATATTTTTATAAACTAGTAAGCAAATGCTGGCTTCATCTGAACTTCTTTCCATTACTCAAAGAACAGAAGACAGACGTAGTAACAGTTACAGAACAGAACTATCAACTTTATCAATATAAAAATATAAGAATGAAACTGTGTGCAGTTGTGCCGCCTTCAACAACTCAGGAGTCTGGGTGACTGATGCAAGAGGATCACAAGTTTCAGTCCTACCTGGTAATTTAGCAGGACTTAAAAATAAAAGGTTGGGTATGTAGGTCAGTGTGAAGGCCTTGGGTTCAATCCCCAGTACTGCCACGAAGAAACAAACAAAATAAGGGAAAGCAAAAGGTAGGTTACAGGGATTAGTATCCTCATTTCACAAAGGAGATGCAAGACACTATTACTTGGTTGACAGAATAAGGAAAAAAAAAAAGGCACACAGCTTAAATCTGCAAAGGTTTCTAAAACTTTAGCACATGTATGATAGTACAGATGAACTTAATAAAATAGAAACTATTTTCCCTTCTAACTCTTACGGTAGCTGTGTCAAGTGATACTAATTTTTCATTTCCAAGAATGTATTTTCTATAAAAACTATTAAATTAAAAAACTGTTAAGCTTCTTAAGTTAGAAATAAAGGTGATAGGATAGTACAAAAACTAGGAAGGAGTATTTAAAAGAAGTGAAGAGCAAAAAATGTTTCAGTAGATAAAACTAAGGAAACACTGGCAGAAATCAAAAAGGTACAGGTGATAAGTGAGCTCATCTAGCATAGTAAGTTAGAGTTCATAGACTTAATTTTAAAAAAAGTCATAGTATAAGTACATCATTTAGCCATAAGAGCTTAATAACATTCCAGATGAATTAAAAATAGCAAAAGTGGCATATTTGAGAAACTAGGGCTAGGGATGTGGAAACAAGGAAGGCCAGGATCTAAGTCCTCCCATGCTACATGACCGCTTAATGGTGTGCAGGTATACACTGTTTTGGTAGAGATGAGATGGGGTGAGTAGGAAAATCAAGTCAGCAAGCATTAGCAAGAAATATACAGAGTAAAGCCTTCTAAGGTGACTGACACTTACCTACTGGGGCCTGGGGGGCACCAAAGCCCAAAGTGGCTGTCGTAGTATTAAATCCAGGGGCCCCAAAGGCTCCTGTACCAAGAGGCCCTCCGATCTTAGGTTGGCTGTTCCCAAACAAAGATGCCTGTCCAGCACCAAGAGCTATGGAGACAAGAGGAAAGAAAAAGCGCCACAGAAGTTCCTTTGAATGTTAGCCAGAGGTCAGGTACTCAAAAATATTACACATTTGGAAACTTTAAATGAGTCATTTCAACAAAAGAGCTAATATGGCAAATGCTTTCTGTGCTTCAGTTGCCTCCACCGTAACATGAGACTACAGTACACAGCTTAACTTATCCTAACATTAAAAATGAATAAACATGCGTGAAGCATTTAGATGTCTGTACACACTAAATATACTCATTCAGTATTAGCTAATACAACTGAAGTAGGAGCTATCACTATTCTACAGATGAGAAAATGGAGGGTTCAGTAATTAACTCAGTATATAACAAATGATGTGAACAGTACAAATGCAGTTCAAACCTTGGTACATTTGACAAGATAACCATCACAAAAACCGCTTTAACCAAATATACCCGTTTAGCGAACAGCTAAATATCACACAATAAGGTTACTGAACAAATCCAAGTTTGAACCAGACTGGCTAGAATTAGAACTCAAAGCGGAAATTTATAACTTAAAAAAAACAAAAAACAAAAACAAACTTGTAATTTCAGGACTGTATATATATATCTCAGTGGACACTTGACTAATGCGAGCAAGGCCCTTGCTTTGATCCCTTGAACAACAACAAAAAAAGACAAACCAAAAAAAAGTAAATATTTGGACCCAAAAATACAGTATGGGAATATGGGAACTGCTTTGAGGTGACAGCAAAGAGATAACAGTAAGTTTACACAGAGAATGCATTTAGTATAAATCAGTAAGAGCAACTACTGAAAGGATAAACTGCTCCTTATACAAATTTACCAAAAATAAGACCCTGTAACAATGCTCAGTTTGGAGATAAGCTGTAAGACTTCCTGCAAGTCCTAACTGGTTAGTAATTAGAATAAGCTCCGAGGAAAGTTAAAATTACATTATTCCTTAAAAACCAAGTCACAGCATAGATTTTAGGAATTTTTTTTTCTGGTAATTTACCACTTTCTTGCCTCCCCTTGCAAAACTTAGATGAAACCTAAATACATAAAAATCAAAAAGAATATTGATGCAGTAGGTACATGTACCAACTCTCCAAGATGAATGTGATCATGTACTACAAACACATATACTAATGAAAATAAAAACTTAACAAAACAAAACAGATTTCTGATAACTTTGTAGCAGTCGTGGATAAAAATGAAACAGTCTAAAACTTTTATTTCAGTAACTCACAAAATAATAAAAAAATAAGCACTATAAAGTTCCAGTGATCTGAAAAGGGACTTTCATAAAATGACCTGAGCACAGACTGTTAGTTTATCAATGGAAAGTTGCTGTATCCAACTTGCATTATTTTATGTACAAATGGCACTGTGTGTCTAACAAAGAGATATTTTAAGTGAGACCTAACATGGTGAGTGTGGCAATCTGTCAATGCAGGAAACGGTGCGGTATTTAGGGTGGGCTGTGTGCACAAGGAAGCTACACTGGGTGGCAAAAGGATAACTGTAGTCTTAGAAATTACAAGCACATTCAAGGAAAAAGTGAAAATGACTAAGTTCCTTTTGAGATCTTCTAACAAATGTTATAATTTTATCTTTGGTATCTATTAATTTTTATTCTTTTATTGTTTGAGACAGTGTTTCATTATACAGCTCAGGCTGCTCTAGAACTCACTTCATTGTCCAGACTGGCCTTGAACTTGCTGCAATCTTCCTGCCTCAGCCTCCTGAGGACTAGGATTACAGGCATGTGCCACCATACCCGGCTCTATTAGTTTTGTTTTTTTGTTTTGTGAAACCGGGGATTGAACTCAGGCCCATGCGCTTGCCAAAAGCGCTTATTCTACTGAGCTATCTCCCCAGCCCCTATTAGTATTTTGTTGTTGTTGTTGTTGTTTTGGAACTGGGGATTGAACCCACTCTATTATAGTTTCAAACAGAAGATTTTTATGTGTATTTCTTAGTGTAAAAATCAATGTTACTAGATGTGCCCATAAACTTACTCATGGAAAATGTCAATTACAACTACCAAGAAAAATGATAGTGCTCCTGATAGTTACCATCAACCCTAAAACAAGAAAACTGATAAACCTAAGATCTTATTAGTGTTCATCATTTTGAACACGTGGGGGTAAAAAATCACATGCTACAGTCTATTAATTTTTTTTATACTAAGATCAGTCACTTAAATCTAAACTTTTAAAAAAAGAAAAATCTTTTTTTTTACATTTGAACATTTAGTGTTTATACAGCCAACTACTCATGAAGTGCCCAAAGGTCTACGTAATAAGAAAATTTATTTATGTTGAGGTCTGAGTCTGAAATCTTGATGACTCAAAATGAGAGGTTGCAGGGGTAAGCTAATGCCATCATACAGCAATGACATTTTATGTGCCATTATAAAATGCAGTTTGTAACATGTTATATATAATAATGCTGCAAAGTCACAACTGTGCTTTAGCAGATGTGATCATCAAGGATTTCTAACAGTTTGTGCTTGTTCCCGTAATTCTCCTTGCTCTACATGATCTACTGTTGTTAAGGTTGGGAGTATAAAATTCTTCAGTGATCTGTCTGTTGAGTTTCTACATACAAAGCAGGTAGAGGAATAACACGGAGCAACAAAAATCCCATCTACTTGGGAGATGAGGCAGGAGGATGCTAAAATCAAGATTAGTCTAAGCAATTTTGCAAGACAGTGTCTCAGAATAATATTTTTTTCCTGTACCAAGGAATTCAGGACCTGTGCTGGGATTACCGGGCTGCACCACCAAGCCCAGCCTCATTCATAGTCTCAGTACACCCTGGGGGCGGGGCGGGGCGGGGCGGGGCCTGCACCGAAGGCCTGGGGATTGAACTTCCAGGCCCTGGTTTGCCTAAACAGGAGCTTTAATCTTGCCTAAGCAGGAGCTTTAATCAGCTAAGCTATTTGGCTGGCCCTTCAAAATAAAATTTTTTAAAAGAATAAGGATATAGTTAGTGATATAGCATGTGCCTAGCAGGCCCAAGGCCCTGGGTTCAATCCCCAGTATGACCCAAACAAACAAAAAAAAGTGATGCTTTATGTGGGAGAACATTTGTAAAAAGAAAAAACAGAGCAAGGTGGTGGAGTATGCCTTTACTCCCAGCACTAGGGCTGAGGCAGGGCTGCCACAAGTTCAAGATACAGTGACTTCAAGTCCTGGCTCAACTATATAAGAAGAAGACACTGTTTCAAAAAAAAAGGGAAAGGACATTTTTTTTTTTTTTTTTTTTTTTTTTTGGTTTTTTTTTTTTTTTTTTTTTTTTTTTTGGTACTGGGGATTGAACTCAGGACCTTGTGCTTGCCAGGCAAATGCTTATTCTAATGAGCTATCTCCCCACCCCAAGAACATTTTATAATACTGTACTATAGAAGACTTTTCTAATCTTAACTTGCAACACCGGAAGATGTAACGAGTATAACCACATAAAAATAGAACTTATACATGAAAATTTGTCTATGAACAAAATTAAATGACTAAAAACACCTAGTTAAATGAGGCATGGTAATGCACCGTGTAATCCCAGCACCCTTAGAGATTAAGGTAAGAGGCTTTCCAGTCTTCCACACATCAGAAGACCTTGCCCTCAAACTAAAATATATGTAGATCAGTGCAAGAGAGGAAAAAAAAAAAAGACTTGGGTGAATGCAGTTTTCAGCGTAACATTTTTTTTACTAGATGATGCAAGAGCAACAGGTACTCCACAGAAATCATATTTTTAATTTTGTGCTTTGTTCTTTTGCAGGGCTAATGAAGATGGTATGATGCTCTTCTACAATGCCCAATGGTAGGCTAATGAAAGAGTTCTAAGTATTTAAGACAGGCTATATTCACATTCATTAGGTTAACATATTAAATGCATATTCAACTTACAATATTTTCAATTTATAATAGGCTTACTATAACCCCACCCTAAATTGAGAAGCACACATATATATATTTTTTTAGGGAAGGGCCTACAGGGTGTTCAGTTTCTCACTACTAGATCGGACTCATAGTGATCCTCCTGTTTACAGCCTCCCAAGTGCGGGGATTACAGGCATGCGCCACTATGTCCAGTCTCAATGGCCGTCTCAGTGCCCCTGCGGGCGGGGCTAACATGGCAGGCCCAAGGATGGAACCCCTGGCCCCTGCGCCTGCTTGCAGGCCCTTAAATCCGATGAGCTATTTGACCGGCCCTAGCACATGTATTGCTAACATTACATTTCTATTAATAAGATGTCAGTCAAAAAAAATCCTTAAAAGAGTCCTCTTTAATATTTTTATTCATTCAAAAAACATCTTTTTCTCCAGAGTTTAAAGCAAACACTAGGGGATGGAGAGATGGCTCAGTGGTCTAAAGCACCTACTTAGAACAAGCTTGGCAAAGCATCAGGGACCGCG